CTGGAGCTTTCTGTGTCTGAGTGTCTTCACTTGTAAAATGGCTTTATTTAAAGTTTTGATATTTTATTTATCATCAATTTTTATTTTTTTAAATACCACATTAACACCTTTATTTTGATTACTGAGGTTTTTGGCACCCTAAATTAAATTTTGCACTTGCCTTATTCCTTTGCTGGCCCTTGGCTGCCAGCAAGACCCAGCCCAGAGCAGCCTTCTGTTCTCCCTCCTGGGTGTTGCTTTCCTCTCCCAGCCTTCAGCCCCTGTGCTGACCTCTGGGCCTGACCTCTGACCTCCACAGCCTTCTCCTGGGTCCAGGAGGGCTAACATGCTAGAGTAGGCCAGGCCACCCTGGCGAGAAAGGCTGTTTGCTCCGGTCTCTCAAGCAGCCTCATTAACATGCGGAAAGATGCAAATTGAGGCAATCCTGCTGTTTTAGAAGAACTTAATATGTTTTTTAAAAAGATAGGGTGAAAAGGCAGAAATTGCAGGAAATTATATATTGCAGGAGGTGCTTTATCTTCTCTGCAGTTGGTTCCCAGAGAGGCTTCTGGTTTGGGAACAGCATTTCCTGTGCTGACAGCCCCTCCCTCAGGGCGAGGCTGTCACCCAGCAGGTCCACTGATCTTCGGCCAGAATTTCTGCTTCCTAATCCTGCTGGCCCAGGCTTCTTGCTGCCCCTTCCCCAGCCTCTTCCTGGGCTCACACATAGACCGAGGCTTGACCCACTCACTAACCCTCATTCAAGGGGAGCAGTTGCAGCCTTGTTTATATGATTGTTGACATAAGTCAGAGCCACCTTCAAAAGCACAGTCCCCAGAAAACTAACCGGGTCCTACCCTCGGGGACTCCCCACTGGGTGTGCACCCACTAGAGGGGAAGCTTGCCTTGGTTTCAGTCTAGAAATCTCCCTGAAGGTCTGTCTATCCCCATGGGCTCGACCATAGCACAACAGCCCAGATGCTCATCATGGGCTTTGGGGGCTGTTCCGGGTCTAGGTTGTGTTAGGGGGGCCATCAGGGTGAGCAACAAGATAAGCCCCCAGCAGCGCCGCGTGGATTTGTCCTCAGCAGGGAAATGATGAGGTGGGCTCACTGGTGGATTTTTCCAGTTAGCCGAGTTTCGGAGCCAGTCTTTTTATTTTATTTTCATTTTAACTAGTTTGCACGGAGGAGGTCTTTCTAAAATGGATTTCACACTTCTCTGACTCCTCTAACTGAGGCTACAGAACATAATTAAACTTATCTTGATGATTCGGGGTCCGTCATCTGGAATCTGTTATTAATCTCTGGAGCCAGACTGTCTTGTTCCAGTCCCCGCTTCTCTCCTTCCTGGCCGTGTGGCTTCCAGGGTGTCAACCTCTCGGTGCCTCAGTTTGCTCATCGTTGAAAGGGGAATGACAGGTACACCTACCTCCTGGGGTTGTTGAGAGGATGAAAAGAGCCAGTAGTGCCTGGCATACAGGAGGTAGAGCCGTACTACCTCGCCATTTGCCTAGATGAATGACACGTGAACGTTGGCAGTTTCATGTGGGTCAGCCCAGCGGCCGATGGCACTCTGCCAGCGTTGGCTCCTGTTCTTCAGGTGCTCTGGGCAAGGCACCGGGGCCTGGCACTTCCCATATGTCCTCTCCTGTGTCTTCTCAGCTGGCTCACAGCGGGCATCCATACTCCACCGATCAGAGCAGAACATCAGAGCTGCTCAGCTGGTAGTGGCAGAGCTGGGGTTCCAAGCAGGCGGCCTTGGTTCCTTTGTGCTGTCCTGTGTCAGGTGCGGCGCTGGGACAGCGGCCCTGCCAGCGGAGCGTGGAAGGGCCCTGGAAGCATGCTCTCCTCCGTTCTGCACTCGTTTCTCTAACATTCCTGCTCCTCTTCCTGGTCTGCAGGGCCCCGGGCTTCTCCCAGGAAGCAAAACCAAGAGCTTTTGCCCCTGGATTTTGTGACACCTGTTTCGGTATTTATTTCACAGTGCAGGTTGTTGTGTGTGGTTCACCAGTGTTCGTTCAGGTGACCTCCAGATGGGGGGCGTCACATCTGGAGACACAACAGAGCTGTGTCCTGGGGAGGCTGGAGGAGTCTCGGGCTCCCAGACTGTCCCCTGAGTACTGGCCTCCCAGCTCTAAAGGACAGTGGCGGACATCCTGTTCAGCATGTCACTTCACAGATGAGGAAGCTGAGGCTCAGAGGGCCGGAGGGACTGCTGGGACCAACTAGAACTCAGAATCCTGGCTTCCTGTGGGGCCTACTCCTCTCTCAGGGTCTCCCAATGCCACCTCGGGGCCTCCCTGGGGAGAGCCAGGCCCGGGGTCACAGGTCCTAGGCTGCCTCCCTCTCCTAGGCCATGGGTGGAGCTCCCCCCGCCCGGCGTGGGGTGGGGTTGGCGCTTCCTCCCGGGGAGAGACAGGAGCTGGGCTTCGGGAGCCGGGGATCTCTCTGGGAGGGTGGGAGGGAGCGTCCTGGTCTGACTGCCTGGGTTCCCCCTGTGTGACCCGGGCATCTGGCAACCCCTACAAGCCTCCGTTTCCTCATCTATAGAAGGAGGAGGGTAGAGGAGTGAGTCACTTCGAACAGTTGTTACGAGGACTCAATGAGTGGTGTCCATAAATAGTGTACGAAGAATAACGTATTTACCGAGCTCTGCACTAGTAAGTGCTCAATAAGCCAGCGAGTCTCCTATTCCAGGGCTGAAGTCCTAGATTTCGTGGGCGGCTCTAGGACTCCTTGGGCTTGAGGCCTCGGGAGCCCCAGACGAGCCTCCTTCTCCCTCTCAGATGGGCGATGATGAGGGACATGAGTAAAGCCGTCATTACCTGGGCACCCCGTGTGCGGGCCCCTCCCCAGAGCCTCCCTGCAGGGGTCCTTCTGTCCCAGGTCCCCAGCGCCCAGCACCTCCCTGCCCAGACACACCGAGCCCAGGAGAGCCGGGCAGCGCCCTGTGGACTGTGATGGGCTCTCTCCGAGGCAGAGGGGCTGCTGGAAGAGGCCTGAGTTTGAAATCAGTTCATTCGCCCTGGCCGGTTTGGCTCAGCGGTTAAAGCGTCGGCCTGCGGTCCGGAGAGACCCGGGTTCGGTTCCCGCTAAGGGCATGTACCTCGGTTGCAGTTTGTCCCCGGCCCTGGTTGGTCGTGTGGGTGGCAGCCACTCGATGTGTCCCTTTCACATCGATGTTTCTCTCTCTCTCTCTCTCCCTCCTGCTCTATCTGAACAAAGAATGAAAAAGTGTCCTCGGGTGAGGATAAAAAAAAAAAAAAAAAAATGAAATCAGTTCATTCACGTTGAGTTCCTGCTCTTCCGGTTTTCAGCGGGTGACCTTGGGCAGGTTCCTTAGCTTCTCTGACCCCCAGCTCCCTCAGCTGTAACAGTGACGAAGGACTGTTTTGAGGGCTGACTGTGATAAGGCTGCAAAGCGCTGAGCTCAGTGACTGGCCACACAGGTGGTGACTAATAAGTGTTTGTTGAATGAATGAATGAATGAGTGAAGGAACGGAAGGATGTCTGTATGTGCTGGTGTCGGATGTCCTTGAAGGCAGGTGTGCGAGGTGGTGGAAATGGAGGTGGGGCAGGGACAGAGGCCACACACCGTGCTGGGGGGAGGGGAGACGTGGTCAGATCATCGCAATCGCTTGCAGGCGCTTAATGTGCGCCATGCGCTGCCCTCACTGTGCTCACGTTGACTCCTTTCACCTTCCCAACAAGCATGTGCGGTAGGCACTGCCAGTACCCCGTTTTGTAGGTGAGGAAACAGCACAGAGAGGGTGAGTAACTTGCCTTAGGTCGCACAGCCAGTGAGGGATGGAGCTGAAGCAGGCAGCCTGGCTCCAGCGACCATATTCCTATCCTTTATATCGTACCCACCCCTCCCCAACCTTCGACCATATCCTTCAAGCCTCTGGGAGGCGGCATCGTCATCTCTGTCACCAGTGTGTCCTCACTGGGCTGTCCTCACTGATTTCAAGAGATCCTCTTTTTCACTCAGAGGGGTGGCGTGAGAAAGCTGGGTGGCTTCCCTCTAGGGCAGTTATCTGAAGGCCCCGGGGTGACAGGATAGAGCCCTGAGCTCTGGCCAGTTGACAGGTGATTTGTCAGGACGCAAAGCTTTCAGGTTGAAGAGGCCACAGGAGAATGGGTGGAGAGGAGGAGGTGGAGGCATCTTTGCCTGGTGCCTCGGCCACAGTGAGCTAAGGGTCTGGGCACCATGAGGGGAGAGGTCCAGCGGTCCAACTAGGGCCTGAGTACCTTCTCATACCCTTGGCTGAGTGTTGGGTGAGGCGGGGCTGTGACCTGATCCGGGGAGTCAGAACCCCAAGGCTGCGCTGGTGAACCTGGGCAAGTCCCTCCCGGCCCTGAGCCTCTGACTCCTCGCTGAGGAGGTGATTCGTGGTCCTGCTGTATCCACCTTAGAGACTTAGTTGTGTGTGAAAGCGATGCCTAATCACACGTGCTCTGGGAACCACACACGTGTGAGGGGCGCGGTGACTGGACAGAGCGCGGGCCGAGCTCAGTGCCCCTGGGTTAGTCATTTCACCTCTCGAAGCCGCTCAGTTGACCAGCAGTGGAATCGTGTGCACCCACGCTGGCCGTGTGGGCGCAACTGCCCGCTCTCTGCACAGCGCTTCGCACACCTGCTCTCAGTCCTCACACAGCCCTGGGGGTGTGTGCTATGATCGGCCCCCTGTGACAGAGGGGAAACTGAGGCTCCAAGAGGTCACCTCCCTCCCCAAGGTCACAAAGAGCCAGGACTGGAACTGGGGCAGCTCTCTCCAGAATCTACCTGCTTCACAGCAGAGGCTCTGCTAGCCCTGCCAATGAGGTCATTCGAAGGTGGCATGAGACCCTCGCAGGTGCAGCCCAGGGCCTGGCCCCGTGCAGGGCAGTGGAAGCCGCTGCCCTTTCCAGCGCTGGTGCCGGAATCCTGCCTCCAGGGCCCTGGCGCCGCGTTTCCACGGGCCGGGCGCCCTCCCGCCTGCTCCTGCCTCACGGCTCCGCTCTCCCCTCTCCCGCCAGGATGTGGCCACAATGCAGTTCTGTGCCAACAAGCTGGACAAGAAAGATTTCTTCGGGAAGTCCGACCCGTTCTTGGTGTTCTACAGAAGCAACGAGGATGGAACGTGAGTTCCCTGGCAACATGCCACCCTCTTTCCAGGGTCAGGGATGGAGGGGCTGTGGCGACCGGCCAGCAGGGTGCTTGGTCCACCTCCTGCTGGTGCTCTAGCGAAGGCAGGGACCCAGAGTGGTGCCCTGGCCACGTGGGGAGGCTGGTGGGGGTTGGGAACGGCCTCCGAGCCAGCAGTGCCACTGCGAGGGCTCAGCGTGGTGGGTGTCAGGTGTGCTGGAGGTAAGGGGAGTGGGTGGAACAGGGCAAGTGCAAGAATAGGGGCCCCTCTGATAGCCCCGCCTTCTTCCACACAAATCAGTCCATATGTCCACGTCCAGTCTCCCTCCCCCACAGCCCTCTGAACACCCCACTGCTACATGTGCCCCCCCACTACTGCACCCCCAGCATGGCAAGTCTGAACCCCTCCCCACTCCCCCACACTTCACTGCAGGCTTCATTCAAAACTCTACCGTCCTTGAAGCCCCATTTCCTCCTCTCCTGTCCCTACCCTAGAAGCCACCCACACTGTGACAGTAACACACGCACGCACACATGCACACACACACTGGCAAATGTAGGTCAGCTGTGTACACAGAAGGACAGATTCTAGGTGGAAGGTCTGGGGGCCTAGGTCCTTCCCACAGCCCACTGTGTGACCCCAGGCAAGTGATGCCCCTCTCTGGGCCTGTTTCCTCATCAGTAAAACAAACCAGTTGGATTAGGTGGTCTCTATGGTCTCTTCAAGCACCAGAGTTCTGGGAGGCTGAGGCCACTTACAGATGGAGTTCGGTAGGACCGGGAGGTAACGGGGCCAGGAAGGTTAATTAGAAAAACGCTGCTGCAGAAGGGGAACGGGAAGCAGGGCTGGAAGAGGAGGAAGAAAATGGGTCCAATGGGTCCAAGGGGGAAGCTTAGGGAAGAATAACAGGCTAGAGGAAAGGCCAGTGCAAAGCAAGTGTGCCCGGAGCAGAGGCAGAACGGCCTCCGCCACGTTCCCTTTGATTCTGGATATGCGTGTGTGAGTGTGTGTGCGAGTGTGTGTGCGAGTGTGTATATGTGTGAGTGTGTGTGTGTGTGTGTGTGTGCGCGAGTGTGTGTTGAGGGCCAGGGAGCGGCAGGGAAGAGGTGTGTTTCAGTTCAAGGGAAAAAAGGTTTTTAAATCTAAACGTACAAAACAAGGAAAATTAGGTGCGATCATTTGCATAACAAAAGGATTCTTTGTCTCACCAAAGGACTCTCAGCAGAATTTCTTTAAATAATTCTTGTTGATTTTGACTTGATTTGAAGGATGGAGGGAAAGGCCTGAGTGGTGTTCCCGGTGCCCACGGCAGTGCCCAGCCAGGTCCCTCCAGAGGGGCGTCGCTGGGTCACACCGGCGGTCTCAGGTCGGGTGGCTGACCAGGAGGGCGGAGGGTGTGGGTTTGGGAGCAGGAAAGGGGTGTGTTGCAGAGTGTTTCCAACGTTCTTCTTGCAGAGCATGTGTAGGATGGATGGGGGGAGGAGGGAGAGGCTCTGACTGACACGTGGGGGGTGAGCCCTGGCAGCTGTGCTGTGGAGTGCAGGGGGGGAGGGCGGCACGGGGGCAAAAGGACAGCGGAGACCTCAGTGGGCAAAACTTGGTGGGGCCTGGTCACAGCCCCTCTCTGGCCGTGGAGTGCGGGGACTGGAGGGTCGAAGGTGCCAGCTGGTCAGACGGGGGCGCCGTGGCAGCTTACTGGGGGCTGGTTTCACCTGAAGCACGGGCTGGGTGTCTCCCTGAGGGTCCCGGGCAGCTGGAGAAACCACCCAGGGCCCCGAGAGGCGGCGAGTCTGCAGGCTCCCGCAGAGGCTGACTGGGGAGAGCAGGGAGGTGACCCCGAGGAGCAGAGAGGAGAGCGGAAGGCTTGGAAGACACCCCCCCCCCCGGAGATGGGAGGAGGTCAGTGAGGGGCCCAGTGAGGGGCCCGGGGAGTGAAATGTCATGCCTGCCACACCAGGAGGGACAGGGAAGGAGCATCCACCAGCGCCCTCCGTGCTCCTGGCCTGCACCTCCTACTGTGTCTCATTCAGTCCAGTCCTCTGGGAGTAAGGCTGAGTGAGAGCAGGGGGCTCCCGTCGCCGCCGCCTGGGGGCCGGCGCTGCCAGCCGTGCTGTCACCTTCAGGCGCGGCTCTCACTCAGGGGAGCTTTCTGGGACGAGGGGAATGTTCTGTATCTCGCTGTCCAGTGTGGCCACTGTTAGGCACAAGGAGCACTGGAAACGGGGCTAGTGCGACCGAGGAACGCATTTCAGTCCCATTTCATTTGAGTTCGTTCAGATGTGAGTCCTCACGTGGGGCTGCGGGCTGCCATCCTGGGCTGCAGCTTAACCTCTGCCCGAGGGGCTGATCCGACCCACAGCTCTCCAAGGGTTGCTGTGGGGACTAATGAGTTAATACGGGTAATTAGAACAGGGCCTGCAGCTCCTGTGGTTCCGCCCATTCACAATGAGAGGGAAGCTCAGAGAGAGAGAGTGACTTGCCTGGGGTGGCACAGCTGGTAGTAGAGGCCCTGGGACTGGAGGCCACACCTGCAGGACTGTTGGTTAGTGCACTCCTGTGCCATCCCCTGAGCGAGGGTCCAGGTGGACCGAGTCCAGGGCAAGCTGACCCGGGGCACCGCAGGGAGTCGAAGGGCCTGTGGATTTGGTGGGGCAGGGACTTGAAGAAGGGGCTTCAGGCCAGAGTCTGACGCGGAAACCAGACTACACAGGGTTCAGGAAAAACAAGAGGGAGGACATCAAGCTGATAGCTTAGAAGACCTGCGCAGGCCGTTTGGCTGGCAAGGGAGAGGAGACGGGGGAGGCAGTGGGTCCAAAGGGGCCAGGAGGCTGGAGGAGCCACACCGGTCCCTGTGACTCTAGGGGTTCAGCAGTCAGGGCCTCTGCACAGTGCCAGCCTCCCTCCTGTCCCTGCCCCTCGTGCTCCTGCCCCTCCGCGGCCCACCCAGCCTCCTCCTCCTGCTCTCGGCCTGCCCCAGCCATGGGCAGCGGCCCCTCCTTCCTCCGACCCCTTCGTCTCATCTGCAGCTCTGGGTGTGGTGGGAGGTCTCCCACGTGTATCTTACACTCCAGCGGGTGGGCGAGAAGGAGCGGAGAAGAGAAACGCTGAGCCTTGGTGACAGAAATGACATTTTGACTTGAAAATTGCCAGAGAAGAAATGGCACAGGCTGTGTGGGCATAGGCGGAGCCCAGGCACCTCCCTGAGTGACCTTTCCAGGCTGGGATGGATGCTGGGACATCTCAGGGAGGTGGCCCCAGCACACCGGCTCCGCTGCCCCCATGTGGCAGGGCAGGCCCGGGTGGGGAGCGGGCAGGGCCGATGCCCTGGGGCCCGGATGGGACAAGCCAATTCTGCACTTTCAGTTTGCACAGCAAGCTCAGGACTCAGAGCTGAAGGGTCTTCGAGATCATCTCAGCCTGGGGCTTTCATTCTCTGCACTGAAATGCCAGCGAAAGCTGTGGATAGTGTTCTCTGAGAAATACACTTATTCAGTAATTAATTCCAAAAAATACTTAGTGAACAGTAACTGTGCCCGGCACTGTTTGGGGCACTAGAGACATACCAGTGACCAAAGAACACAAAACTTCCATGCTTGTGACAGACTATACAATAAATAGGGAGAAAATCAGACTATGTCAACTGTCGAATGGTGGCGGGTGAGATGGAAAGCCAGCATGGAGGGACTCGGGATGTTGGGGTCAGGGCCAGGGGCTGGCAGCTTTAGATACGGCGCTCATAGCAGGCTCTCATATCACAGAGCTGACACCTGAAGGAAGTGAGGGGGTGAGCCATGAACAAGGAAATCTGGGGGGACAGACAGGAAAACAGCAAGCACATGAAGCCCAGACACCCAGCTTCACTGAAAATTTCAGGGGTTCACAGATCCCTGAAGCCCATCCACAGATTCTTCTGTGGATCTCAGTGGAAGGTCATCTGATAGTGGCCAACTCCCTGGAAACAGCGGCCCAGAGCGGGAGGGACATGCTCAAGGTCGCACAGAGAGGGCCCAGAACCTGCCTCTCCTGACGTCATCCCCCCTCCCCCAGGAATGCTCTCTGCAGCATCATCAGGAAGTGGACATCTAGTTTCTACCTGGATGTTGCTAGTGACGGTCAGCTCATCACCTCACAAAGCCACAATTTCTGTTTCTGGCAACTGTAGAGATTAGCCAGCTAGTCCCACAGTTGACCTGGATTCTACCTCCCTTGGGCGGGGTTCTGAAACCTTCCCTTTCTTTTTTGCCAGGTTCACCATCTGCCACAAGACTGAGGTCATGAAGAACACCCTAAATCCAGTGTGGCAAACTTTCTCCATTCCTGTGAGAGCCCTCTGCAACGGGGACTATGATCGGTGAGCGGAGAAAAAGTCCCTCCCTGTGCACAGGTGCAGGGGGCCTGGTTCACGTGGATGTGGGTGGTCCCCTCAGTGTGAGCAGAGACTCCTGGAGCTGTGCATGGGTGGCCCTGCACAGGGTGGGGCTCGTGAGCCTCCCCACCGGCCCCTCCCCGCCCTCCCTGGGCAGTGTCTGCCTTTATCTCCTCACAGCCCTCCCCCCACCCCACCTCTTCCCTCCGGTCAGACATCCCCACTGGTGGGAACCTCCCCAGGCTGGGGGGATGGGAGGTGCCTGGGATTCCAGGGAAGCCTCATGGGTGCTGGGGTGTCCTGGCCTGGAGCTCAGCAGCCTGTCATTGTTCCCTCTGGAGGGGCAGGTGGGGGCCAGACGGGGCTCTAGAAACACAGAGGAGGCCTGGTCCCCACCAGCCCCAGCTCTTGGCAGGTGGATTCAGGGAGTCAGGATGCTAAGACACTCTCTGCCCGGCAAGCCGCCATACATGGGGGTGAGGGGTGGGACACAGCTTGTGCAACTTGCTGATGTGACACAGCCTGCTGTTATTACCTGTAAGATCATCATTGTCATCGCCTCATCATCGTCATCGCCTGAGTGCAGATTTTGAGTGTGAATACACCTGGTTTCTAATCAGCTCTGTGACTAAAAAGTACTGTCAATCTGGGCAAATCTTTACCCTTTCTGCCCTTTCTCAGTTTCCTTATCTGTAAAATGGGTATTTAATGTCTGCCTACCCCATAGGGCTGCTGTGAGGTTCGCGTGACACAGCCTACACAGGAAGGCTTTGGTGTGTGTAAAATACCAAATTCAGCATTTCTTCAGTGTTTATGGACTCCCCGCCGTACCTACGCTAGAGGCTAGGAAGTCAGCAGGGAACAAAACACAGTCTTCACCCTTCACCCAGCCTCGCGGGGTTTACATCCAGTGGGGGAGGCAGCCATTAATCCAATGATCACACACAGAAACATATAATTACAAATCGTGCTAAGTGCCCGGGAGCTGTAAGGTGGTGTTGGTCTGTGTGGAGTCGTGAGAATCCGCCTGGTCCCTGGCGGTTGCTGTAGCGGGTGGGCGGCGGGCAGGTCCGCAGGCAGCGCCGCCCCGCCAGCCTGGAGGAAGCTGGCCCTCTGCTGGCCACTCGAACAGGAACACAGGCATCCTGGCTGGTGGCATCAGAATGGGCTTGCTGGGACCCGGCTCCCAGTGGCTACTGACAGGCTCTGTGTGGTGGGGTGGGGGCGCCTTCAGGAACCCCATCTCCTAACATGTTAGGCTGCTGATCCACAAGATAAGGTGGCACCTTTTCCTGCCTCTTGTTGGGACAGAAAAGCCACAGTCTATTCCTCAGGTGGTCATGAACACCTACTACATGCTCGTTACGTCTCCAGCTGTGCACCGCTCAAGAGAAGGTAGCCTCATTTCCATCTTCAGGGAGCTTACAGTCTGACCACAGGGAGCTCAGATGTGCACACAAATGCATCAGACAGCAAAGTAATTGCAAGATGTGACTGGAGACAAAAGTAGGCCTTCTAGCCAAACGGACACAAGTTACGTGCCTGGGCAGGTCCTCGGGCTTCTGGAGTGGGGGATGGGAGGACAGGGTGGTTGGAGCATAGGGCTACAGGAGGCTCAGGGAAGGCTGCAAGGCTGTGGGGGGCGGTCCAGCTGACCCCTCACAACTCTGCGTCCCTGGGGAGGGACTTCCAGGGTCTTAGAATCCAGCTCGTCTGGGATGGTGAGGAGAGCAGCCAGGCTCAGAGGCCTGGGCTCACTGTTCAGCCCTTAGAGGAGGTAAGGCTGTGGGGGGACAGTGCAAGTCACCCAGAAACCCAGGCAGGCTCCCATCTCCCCTCCCAGGCTGAGCCCAGCTGGCTCTCCCTCCGGGGTCCTTCTCCACAGACAAGTAGATGGACCAGGCATGAGTGACAGCGGTGTGAATGAAGGGGGCCTGGCTGGGTGAAGGTGAGCAGGCCGCTCACTGAGCCCTAGGGGTGACCCATGTACCCAGCAACCACTTGGGAGGTGCAGGCGTCTGGGAGCCCTCTCAGGGCGGGGGAGGGGGCTTTTGCAGGAAAACGAGGGAAGCACCTCTATTTTTTTTTTTATCCTCACCTGAGGACATTTTTTTTTTTTTTTTTGCATTTATCTTCAGATAGAGCAGGAGGGAGAGAGGGGGTGAGAGAGAGAGAGAAACATTGACGTGAGAGAGACACATCGAGTGGTTGCCACCCACACGACTCCAACCGGGACCGGAGACAAACTGCGACCATGGTACGTGCCCTTAGCGGGAACCGAACATGGGACTCTGGTCCGCAGGCCGACGCTCTAACCGTTGAACCAAACCGGCCAGGGCAGGGAGGATCCTCTTTAAAGCCTCACAGATGCATTTGGTTGAACCCAGCAGCCCGTCTTCCATGCCAGCCAGGCACAGAGCGCCGTGCTGGGTGCTGTGGGCACCCCGAGCGGTCAGACCCAAGCCTCCCTCTTAGGCTGCTCCCAGGCCAGGGCAGGAGACAGACGGTGATCGTAACACAAGCGCTCCATTGCACTTCGTGCTAATTTGTGTGTATGAACGAACTGAATCCTCCCAACAGTTAGTACCTCTTCTGGAAAAGGTCCTAACACTATGCTCACTTCACAGGTAAGGACACTGGGGTGGCTCTCGAATCTGCGTTCTTGACCCCGACACTGTTGCCAAGTGGCCGAGCTGGGGTGTGAGTGGGTGCGTGTGGAGGGGGCTCTGGGAGAGCCGTGCCCAGGGCGCGGGCAGGTCTGCCCCAGGACGGAGGGGAAGGAAGACCTGCCTGGAGACGGGACTGACAGAGACGGGGAGGTCATTAGGTTTGGAGCTTGGGGGACAAAAGAAGATGGTATCACTGACAGAAATGGGAAGTGTGACAGGGACCCAGAGTGGGCGGCTGTGGGACAGAGGCCTGGGACCCCCAGGAGGGGGCTGGCGGAGGAGGGGTACTCAAGGCCCTGCGGGGAGGGGGATGCCACAGGTCAGGAGCAGGAGGAAGAAGAGGAGATGGCAGGAGAGATAAGAGGGGACCGTGGTCCGGGAGCTGAGAGGGGACTTCAAACGGACGTGTCAGCTGCGGTGGTGAAAACCAGGGCGGGGGGGCCCAGCCAGGGAGCCACAAGAGGCCCGTTTCCTGGGAAAGGTGGGCGGAAGCCAGTTCACTTTGTGAAGATCACCGGGTCTTTAGGGTGTGGGCCAAATTGTGTCCTACGTGGTTTTAATACATTATCTTATTTGTGAATTAAAGTTCACAGCAACCCTAGAAGGTGGGCATGGTGACACCCCCACTTCACAGATGGGAAAGGGGAGGACCAGAGTTTATGTAACTTGGCAGGGCAAGGAGACGGTACCTTTCTTCTTTCCAGAAGATACCTCTGGGCTGGCCCTGTAGTTTGGGGTCCCCCTGTGTGGGCTGTGTCTCCAGTCCACACAAGGTCAAACTCAAGTGACCCAGCTGAGCATCAAGGTCAGGGCCCGTCCAGCCCTCCAGTGGGTGATGTGGGGTGATGACAAGAAGCACTTCCCCTGTCTTCCCCGAAGCCCGCGCTCTCTCCTTGAACATTCTGTGACTTGAGGGTTTGTCCCCGTTAAACCAGATTCCCCTGGTTGGGCTGCTGTCACTCACTCACACCTTGCTCTTGAATGAGTGGATTTTAAGAGGGTGTTAGGGTGCTGGGTCCTTGCCTGGAGAGGGCAGAGGGGGAGCTGGGGGCTGTCACATCTCTGAAACATCACATTCTGTCTGTCCCTGGAAGCACCAGCTGCTTCTGTTTTGAACCCCACAACCCGCTGAGCGCCGGGAGGGGCCGGGCCAGCGCTGTGACCTTCGTTAGACGTGTCTCGTCATCCCTCTCACAGCTGCAGAGGCTGAACTCAGACAGAAGTCCGCCCTGCAGCCCGGGCGCACCGTGCCGCCCGCCATCCAGCCTCGCCCCCGGGAGGCCCGGCTCCTCTTCTGTCCTGAAGCCTCTCTGAATGTTGAACTGATTGTCAGTTTAGTGTGAACCCCTCAGGGCCTGTCAGCCCTGGGAACTTGTAAGCGGCAGCAAAATGTACGTCCTCCAGCCTGGGAGAGGCTCATTAGGAGGCAGGTCTGGAGCCCGGGCAGGTTGGTGAGCTGGGGGGGGGAAGCCAGGCATCTCTGCCGAAGCCCCTCGCCCCTCAGCCCTGCCGTCCTGCTGAGGCTCAGCCCAGCTCTGTCACTCCGGCCCCAGGCGTCCACTGACCTACAGGACACTGGCTCCTGCCCCGGCCTGGTGTGGCTGCTGACCAGCTGTGTGACTTGGGGAAAACCACACACTCTGGGCCTCCCCCTGTGATTCTGGGGAAGGAGGGCATTGCTACTGCACGGCCCACGTCACCAAGCTGATAGACGTAGTTAGCCAGCCGGCAGGTGCTTAATAATACCACCCCTGTCACATGCCGAGCATTAGCTGGGCGCTGCTCCGGAATCCGCAGATGCAGCCGTGAACGAAGCAAACACAACCCCTGACATTTCGTGGCGAACGGGAGCTGCGGGAGCAGGAGCGGGGAAAAGGCTTGAGCGTTTCAGGTGGGACAGAGCAACACGTGTCCTGTGCTGACCCGGGGAGGATGTAGCTGACTTCCCATTTCACGGAGGCGTGCAGTCTCCGAGGGCAGGCCAGTCGCTCAGGCCGCAGCAGTAGCCGGAGAGCTGGGGTTGCCACCCGAGCCCGCAGTCTCCCCTGCCCACCCCACTGCCTCTCCGACTAGGGGCTCCATGGCCTGAGCCTTTCATGCTAAATAAGGTGTTCATTTTGTGGGCAGCAGAGGCCCGTGTCCTTGCCCCACACCCAGGAGCCCCTTCTCTTGGGTGCTGTCCTCAGAAACCACAGTGGGTCCGACGTGAGCCGTTGTTGGGCCTGTGCTAAGGGGTTGGAAGCCAAGGCCTGCAGCCCACAAGGGGCATGTGAGGTGACGTGGGGCATCCCAGTCAGCGCTGGACAGCGACAGAGCTGTCAACAGGGTACTCAGAGCTGTGTCTGGCTTGCCTGTCTCTGGGCAGCATTTCTCTCACCTCCTTCTCCCCCAAGGCTGGAGTGTGCAGCCTCTGAGCTAATCGGACCCCCAGGCTGCATGGCCGGCCCTGGAGCCTCCATGGCACAGGAGTCTCACACTCAGTGGTCTCCACCTCAGCTGCAAGTTCAAATCCCCTGAGGAGCTTTTAACAATCCCCCTGCCAGGTGCACTCAGACCCACTGATTCTGAGTCCGAGTGTCGGGGGGAGGCAGCAGCCCTGGATTGCTAAGCTCCCCAGGGAATCCAATGTGCAATCAAGGCTGAGGACCAGAGGTCAGCGGCTCTGGCTGAACATTAGAATCAACCAGGTCTTCCCAAACTACCTGTGCCTGCACCACTAATGCAATCAGGCCCGATGATCTTGGGATTATTAAAAAATCTCCCCTGTGATATTTTGGGCATCCAAGGCTGTGGCTGTGACCAGGGTCCTCCTATAGCTTCTGAGCATGCGGCTGTCACTGGTCTGGCCGCCTGAGGGGCTGGTGTCAGTGGTCTGAGGAGAGACACTCCTTCCTGGGGTCCCTGAAGGTCCCCCGCAGGGCTGGAGGGCTCTGGAAGGACTGGGAGACTGTGGGGCAGGGTCCTGGCTCAGACCCTCACCAGCTGTGTGACTCGGGGCAAGTTAATGGGTGCTCGTGGGGCTCAGTTTCCCCGTCTGAAAAGGAAGCTGGAGGCTATCACTCCGGAACATGCAGAGGCACTGGGCCCTGCCCCGAGCTGCTGAGAGCTGGGCCTGGGGTCTGTGTGTCTGAAAAGCTCCCCAGTGATCTGTCAGGGGGCCTGGCTCGGATGCCTCCCGGGTCACTTCCAGCCTTGTCATTCCAGGAATCGGAAGTTGCAGAGCGCTGGTACTCAGGCTCAGGTGTCCCTGATTTAAGTGACTTTCATATGACACACCACTCGAGTATGGCTGATGCTAAAGTGGAGAGAAGGGAACGTTTTACAGAGCCACCCGCTTGCCGGGCGGGCTTTACCGACTGGTCTTTGCCGCTGTTCTGTAAGGACGGTAGGACCCTGCTTTAAAGCGGGGCTTGGGGCTCAGAGAGGCCAGATGACAGCCCAGGTCCCCAGCTAGGGGCCCAGCACCCATGTCCACACCAGCCTCTCCGGCTCCCCAGCCCACCTGCAGGCATTCATCTTAGAGACACTGTTTTTTGCTTTTCACAAGAATTTAAAGGATTTCGTTAAATGGCGGGCTTCTATATCCGCCCCCTTTTGCATTTTAGTAACAAAAATGCAGCTGGTGCACGACCTGGGGGGCCTTCCCTCATTCCGGAGCCCCTTCTGCCCTGATGCCGCCCCATCCCGCCTCGTGGAGGCTCATGAGAAGGGAGACAGCGCCTCCTTCTGGGGTTCCAGAACCCCGAGGCTGAGTCCTCAGAGACCCGGGGAGACGGGCAAGATGATATGTTAATGGAAAACAGGCCCAGACAGCCGCCTCCTCGTGCCCCATTCAGAACTGAAGGCTGGAGGACCCCCCCCCCCGCCCCGCTTCCCTTGCAGTTCCTACCTCCCGAGACCCTGACCCTGCAGGGGGACCCTGGCAGCTCCCCCATCCCTGGGCATCCCTGGAGGACCACTGGCACCAAGGGTTAACCTGCAGCCTTCCACCTCCTTCCTCCGCCTCTGGTCCAGCTAGCCTGTTGCCATGGAAACGGGCTAAAAATAAAATGGGCTCCCAGAGCCCAGCCCCAGGCACAGGAGTCAAAACAAACTAATTAAAGCAGCCGGGCAAAAATGTGAAGATAATTACACCCTCACTCAGGAGCCAGTCCTAGCATAGAACGGCTCAGCGGGCCTTCCCTGGGCCCGGCCTCTGGCCCATCCCTGGCATGCAGGGCTGGCTCCCCCACTCAGATCCGTGGACCCCGGAGTCCTCCTGTCTCGTTACTTCTCCCAGGAGAGCCCACCCTGTTTAGGCCTGAGATCTGGGGAGCAGCACCCCCCTCACTACGATGGCCCCATCCCAGATAAGTCCACAGTGTGGCTTCATGCTAGGGCTTGTGCCTCATCTAGGGTGGCCAAGGAGAAGGCGGGTGAACTGAAGTCTGAGGCTGTTTTTCCATATCTAACCCTCCCTGAAACTCGAGGAAGTCCCTACACAGCTCTGGGCCACCTCTGTCCCTAAGACCTTTGCTAAAAGGCCTCAAGATATTTCCTTTGTCTCTGGGGCTGCTGCCTCTCATGGAGGCCTGGGGGCCTGAGAAGGGCCCATCCTCAGGCCGCGTGGGAGCTGGGTCGAGCCCATCCCACCACCGGCCCTTTGCCTCACAGGACCATCAAGGTGGAGGTGTACGACTGGGATCGAGATGGCAGGTAAGCCGGCAGAAGGGCAAAGGGGGCGGGGTGGGGCAGCCCTGGGGAGGTTGGGCCCCGCCCTCACGTGGGGAGAGCTGTGCCCTGGCCCCCACTCGTGGCAGCTCTGGGGGTGAAGGGGCCCGGGTTCTCCTGTGGAACATCCACTGCCCCGTGACTGGTCCCTGCCAGCTGTGCTGGCCCCAGACGACCCCTGTCTCGCAGGGCGTGGTGCAAAGGGCACAGAGGCTCCTCCTCAGCTGCCCGGCGGCCAGCCAGTGCCTAAACTCTCCCCGTGTTTGGGAGGATTTTGGATTTTCTACATCGCGCCTGTTGTAAGGTGTAGATGGAGGCGACGCCTGAGCGTTCGTGGGCTTGTTCTGTGTGTGAGGCTAAGCCTGTGGGCTGGCCGAGCTGCAGAAGCCGAGCTCAGGCAGCGGGAAGGGGCAGCTTTGCTGAGAACCGACCCAGGAGCCTCGGGCAGGGCCTGGCGGGGGGAGGGCGGTTCCCACTCGGGCTGTGGGAGGCCAGTGCCTTCCCTTCTGAGTGTCCCGGGTGAGCCTGGCTCTGGGAGTTCACAGGTGAGGACAAGCGCTCTCACACCTTTCGTTCCGAAGCCTCGCTGGCCCCTACTTGTCTGTTGAACCAAATCCAAATGTGCCACCCTGGCTTTTGTGACCCCTCCATTGTGTGGCACGAGCAGGGGGATCGCAGAGGGCTTTACACCCCTTAATCTCCGTTGGTACCTCGCAGCCTGTGGACAGGGTGTTGCAACGCAAGCAGCTCTCAGGCCCAAGCCCCTGCCAGGGAGCTCGCCTTCCCCTAGACCGGCGGTTCTCAACCTGTGGCTCGCGACCCCTTTGGGGGTTGAATGACCCTTTCACAGGGGTCGCCTAAGACCTAACAGTAGCAAAATTACAGTTATGAAGTAGCAACGAAAATACTTTTATGGTTGGGGGTCACCACAACATGAGGAACTATACCAAAGGGTCGCGGCATTAGGAAGGTCTAGACCTTCCAAAGAGGCCGGCCAGAGCCGCCACTGCCCCGGTAACCCCGTCCTCCGGTAAGCTCCTGCCCTCTGTCACCACACCAAGGCGGCCTCATGTTTCCGCCCAGGGCTCGGAGCTCCCTCTTCTCCTTTACCGGAGAAAGCTGGGGACAGCCCCCAGAGAGCTCACAGCCTGCAGTGGAGAGCTGCAGGTACGGAGTGGGGACTGCAGCGAGGCCCAGCCCGTCCCGGGCGCCCCCTCCAGCAGGCACTCCCGGCCAGCTCGGGGACCTCAAAGGCAGCCAACCACAGGGCAGGTGGCAGTTCTGCTTTGTCTGAGGTTTGGCTGCTCTTGCTGTGAACACGCAGAGCCCAGAAGGAGCAGACACTGCAGAAAACACCCTCGGTGCCCTGGATGGACACAGTGCTAATTATCCTTTCAACAAATGTTATTGGGAAAATGTCAAATACACATTTAATGAACACTTTTAAGCCTATCACCGGAATTTAACAAGTATTACACGTTGCTGTATTTGCTTTATCTATGTTTTGTTGATGTCGTTTAGATTATAGACATCATGGCATTTTTATCTCTAAATATCTCATTGGGAATGTCTGAAAAATAAGGGCATTTTTTGCATAACTAGGAATACCATTATCACACCTGACACTTTGGCAGTAATTCTTGACTACCCTCTAATATTCATTTCATTTTCAAATTTTCCTTATTGTCCCCAAAATACCTTTTGTTGCTGGTTTATTCAAACAAGAATCCAAGTAGAAATGGGTCCCCTTCTCTGGGCCCTGCTCTTTGCTACTTGGCCGTTGGGTTTCTTGCTCCGTGGGTGACACTGGGCTCCTCCCAAGGCCCCAGCCTCCCTGCTGGCGTGTGCCCTGGAGAAGAGGCCCGCACAGAACTGGGAGCCTGGGGATGTGAGGGGTGGGGTGGGCGGTGGGCAGAGGCAAAGCAGAGCCCGGGCCTCCTGGGCCCAGCAGCTGCCTTTCTTTGCAGCCACGACTTCATTGGGGAGTTCACCACCAGCTACCGGGAGCTGGCCCGCGGACAGAGCCAATTCAACATCTACGAGGTGAGGCAGACGCCGAAGTCCGGGTTTGTTCCAATGCTACGGGGCTCCCAGCCATCGAGGCCCACAGGGAGCCAACGCCGAAGTCTGGGTTTGTTCCGATGCTACGGGGCTCCCAGCCATCGAGGCCCACAGGGAGCCATGTGCAGGGCTAGGGTTTTTGCAGGTTTTCTTGTGAGGTGGGTGGTGGTGTCCCATTGTACAGTTACGGGGACTGAGTCTCAGAGAAGGTAGGGAAGACAAGTTTCCGTAGACGGCAGAATCAAAAGGCAAACAGCCTAGACTGATCTGACTCTGAATCACTGAGTTCCACTGCACCCCAAAAGAGTACTTTCAACAAGGCGGGGGGATAGAGGTGGGGTGGGGCAGAAGGTGGGGGACAGTATCAGAAGGTTCCGGGCCTGCGACCAAGATCCCGAGTTCAAGATGGCCTTCTGCTTTCCATTAGAACAGTGTCAGGGCCTTTTCTGGAAGGAGAGACTCAGGTACCAGAGTCGGGACACCTCTATTTAGACCTGGAGAACCTTGGACAGGGCACCCAGTCTCTCTGGAGATAATAGTGTTTGCCCCGAAAGACAGTTTCTGCCGCCTCACCTTTGCCGGTGTGTGCTGTCCCTCTGGGGTGCCCTCCCACCTTCCACACTTAGCTGAGCTCCTGCTCCCATGCGGGCTCCCCACCTTGTTGCTGCTGGGGTTCCTAGCCTGACTGTACCTCACGCTAGCCGAGTGACCCTGCCTGAGCCCCTGGACCACTCTCCACACCCACGGGGAATGGAACGAGGTCCTAGAACGATGTGGCTCTTGTGAGCGTGACGGCAGGGCTGTCTCCTCGTGTCCCGTGTGCCAGGAGGCTTCCGTTGCGCAACCACCCTGCCAACGGGCTCTAGCCTCGCACAGCCGCCACCCAGCTGGTGAGGCTGAAGGGCTGGCTTTGACGCCCACCGCTGAATCCCAACCTTCCAGGCCTCCCCTCCCGCACCTGCACCCCTGTTCCGAGTGGGCAGGTCTTGTGTTCCGACTCCACGGAAGCTCCCCAGGGACAGGTGACGTGCCTCTCTTCACGTTGGTCTAGCCGCTGCTGGGCACACAGTAGGTGCTTATCAGACAGCCGCATACTGAATTCAGTTGAACAAGGCCATTGTGAAGGTGGAGCGTGGGTGAGTTTCGTTGAATTCCTCACAGTTAATGGTTTTGCTTTCTGCATGGACAAAGGGAAGGCTGTCTGTCCCCACCCCCGCCCACCCCGGCAGAGAGAAGCAGGCTCTGTCTTTCTCTGGCCTCCTTTAAGGAGATTTTTAGGGAAGTGAAGGGAAGAGGTCAGATCTCTGGGAGTGTGGCTTCTAAGGAGGCCTGACAGACCAGAAGAGGCCACGGTCTCTCAGGCCAAAAGCAGAAATGTTCGATTGACTTGTTTCTTGGCCAGGGATCCCCGCGCCCTTGTAATTGACAAGCGAAGGCAGCTCTGGGAAGCAGAAGCGCTGTCTCCACGCTGAAATGCCATCAGGCAGAAAAGGAACTCCACATGGGCCGCGGGCCAGGGTGTCACTGGGGTGTCCCCGGGAGGCCTTTCTAACAGTCCTCCTGCAGACAGCACAGGCCTCTGCCGGGAGAGACCCTCACCTTGGGCCCTGGCATCACCCCGGGTGTCTAACTTGTATGCCCAGCTGTCTGCTGGCCACTCCTTGGACCCGGCCTTCCCAAACCAAATGCAGTCATCATGGGGCCACAGCACCTGGGGAGCCGTGCTTGACAGCTGTGGCCCCTCGCCATCCATGACTGCACCCTACTTCTTCTGCCAATGAAATATTCTGACATGTGTTCCCTTCATTCCCGCCCACCCCACGGTCATCTCCACTGAGCGGCGACTTTGCAACAGCCCGTAACGGCCTTCCCACCTCGTCCCGTCCTCCACGCGGTAACCTGAGTGCACCTCCAGAGTGGTCACCTGACCACATTGCTGCCCAGCTCCAAACTTGGTAGTACTTCCACCCGCCACCTCAGCCTGGCTCTCACAGGGGGTGGGGGAGGAGATTCAGAAAGATGCCCCACCTCGCTGAGATCCTACAGGGCCATTTATCTAGGGGGTAAAGTCCGAGCTCCTTCACACGGCGCCTTGCCCCAGTGACCTGCAATCTGTGTGCACCGGTGGGCCTGTTTAGGTAGACACACATGTCACACGCCTACGAGGCCCGTAGGGTCTGGCCCCTGCCCTCCGCTCTGCCCACCCTGCCTTCAGCCCAGTGGTGCCGCTGTCTGAGGCTCTGCACCCAGCTCGGCCTCCATGGCTTCATTCACAGCTGCTGGCCCTGGGGCCGGCCTGTGTCTCACTTACTGTTGTGTCCCCAGAGCCAGAGCAGCTCCTGGCAACCAGGACCACTCCATGACCTTTGTACAGGAGAGCAGACCCCAAATCGGTCCTGAGGGCCCTAGGGACTCCGGATGTGAGGAGAGGGAGAGGAACAGGGTTAGAACTCCAGCCAGGGGTTGGGAGGTTCCTGGCCTGACCCCTAGGGGGCGCTGGTCTCACTCATGGAACCTCACTGTGCAGCCCCTTGGGAGGCAGAGGCTGGCACATGGGGGTGGGGCATGCTGAGGGTGCATGAAACCTCAAGATAAACAGGGCGTCTCTTCAGTGCCACTTCGCATGAAGATCTGAGAACAAAACATTGCTTTTATATTAAAACAGTTATAATTAGAGAGTGGAAATGTGGAATACTGGCTAATTTAAAGACAGCACAGAAGACTTCAAAGAAATGTGCTGTGGCCAGGTCTTTGGGTGACGCCCAGATCCCCAGGAGTCCACGCTTATTCTACTCAGCTAGCAGGGCTGCTTTGGAGTAAAAGTTTGAGATGCACTCAGTTCTGAAAGTTCCACACCCTCCTGGGACAGGTGGGGAAACTGAGGCACGGTGCAGCATCAGAGCTGCAACTGTGCCCTCCTCTCAACACCTTACCGGTGTGGCTGTTGCCCATGAGTGTGTCTGTGAACCCCGTGTCCTCTGGGCAGCTTTCTCGCCTCTGGAGGATTCGAGGTTCTGGGCTCCTCTCCAGACCCACTGGCTACCTGCACAGCTTGCCGACCCTCCCACCTGAACGTCCCACCTGTGCCCAACGTCAGCACGTCCTTCCTTCTGTGTCTGCCTGGTCACCCCTAACCCCCTTCTCTCCTGCCCCCACAGCCATGCCCGGGGCGCAGGATCTGTGGTCACGCCTTGGCAGTGCTGTTTTGCCATAGCTCAGTACCTGTTCCAACACCCAGAGCCCTCGTTACCTGTGGCCGAGGCTGGTGGCAGTGGTGGTAGTAGGCAGTAGTAATAAAAGGAATAGCAGCCGATACGTACATAGTGCTTACTACGTTCCAGACCCTGTCCTAAACTTGACTTGTATTGACCCATTGCATCCCCATGCCCTTCTGTGGGATCCTTTTTACTCCCATTTTACAGATGAGGAAACAGAGGCACAGGGAAGTTAAGTGACTTGCCTAAGATAACACAGCCTTGAGGTGGCAGAACCAGGCAGACATGCCCCTGGATGTCCCTCCTTATCCCCTTGTACTCACCTCCACCAGGTCCCAGCATCCTGGAGCCTGCTGTGATCCTGTCCCCTCTGAGATCAGAGGTCACCAGAGTTTCCTGCTGGCTACTGCCTGATGTTCAGACCTTTAAATTGGCATGAGTTCTCTTCCAGCCAGCCCAGTTACTCTTCCACCCCGTGGTTCTGCAGTTAAACTGGACCCCAGTTATGTGCTCCCCCCAGTAACGCCTCTGACTGGAGGCCTCCCTCCCTTTCTCCATGTCCAAATGCTCCTGTCCCTCCGCACCTGCGCTCAGTCCTCCTGTGCGGGAGCCTTCGCTGGCTCCGCTGGGCCGGTCCTTCCTCCTAGCAACTGCACGTTCCCGACTCCCCGTTCCTGGCGGCCCTTGTCATCTGTCCTGAGCAGGCGTCCTCTTCCTCCAACTGGAGTAAAGACTCCAGAGGAGAGGAACTGGTGCCCCCACCACACCCCGCGCTGTAAATACTTGCGACGGAATGTGTTTGTATTTGTTACCAAGGTGGCCGAAAGTAAGAACCTGGTTTCTAATTTTGTCACTATGTAGACCAGCTGTGTGACCTTAAGCAAAACACTGGGTGTCCCTGTGCCTTAGTTTCGTTATCTCCAGAAGTGAGTATCAGGGGTCACTCAGGCAGAGGAGGTCTGTGCTGAAGACCAGCTGGCTGCCCGGCAGGAAGAACAGGAGAGGGAGGGGGTGGGTTCACTGGACAGTAGGACAGAGCGTGTGAGGATCGCCTTGCTTTGTTTAGGTAGTGGTTCAGGGAGGGGTTGGGCCTAGACGTCAGGTGGAAAACAAGAGCTGGTGAGGCTCGGGGTAGAGTACACATGTCGTGCTGTGGTAGCCCCGTGGAGGGCTCGCAGGGCAGGGTGGTCCTCCCTGCCAGCCCAGGAGTCACAGCCGGGACGCTGCTGGTGTCTCACACTTGGTGACTGTTTCGGGGAGCTGTCCTGGGTGTTGTAGGATGTTTAGCAGCATCCCTTGTCTCTACCTACTCCCCGGTTGTTACAACCAGAAATATTTCCAGATATCCCTCCAGGGGTGGGGAGGGATCGCCCCCGGTTGAGACCACTGAGTTAACCCACTGAGAAATGTTTTTCAGCACCTCCCGTGTGCCTAGCTAGCGCTGTGGTATATTCTCTGATGACAAGTCTGGTTTGGAATGAAAGCCTGCGCGCTAAGAACAGTCAAGGAGGTTCCAGCTGGGGTGTGAGGGCGGTTGTGGGAGGGGAGCCTCACAGGCCCAGGGAGCCCTAAGGCTAGATCTCCAAGGAGGAGCAGGAGGGGTGGTGGGGCGGAGGGGGTGTGTTCTGGGTGCGGGAGCAGCCGCGCCGGCTCACAGGGCAGGCATGGACAGGGCCCCTTTGCAACATCGAGCCTCCTCTGGCTGCATGGGGTGGAGGGTGTGTTTGGGGAGCAGTGGGAAAGAAGGTTAAATAAATGTTATTCTTGGAGTGTTTGCTTATGGGACACTAGGTCCAATCGGGGAACCCAGTTGCGTAAATCCAAGTGCCAGTCTCTCACAGACCTCCCTGATCCCTCCTCCCTGGGAACCTGCATGTTCTCAGCCCACTCTGCTTACCAGGGTCTGGGCCACATCCGGGGCCGGTGGGAGCCCCAGGGGTCCAGTCTACCTGTTTGGAAACCTTCTTATTGTAACTGGTTTTTCCTGCAGGTGGTAAACCCGAAAAAGAAAATGAAGAAAAAGAAATATGTGAATTCTGGCACGGTGAGTAGCCACCGTGAGGCCCGAGCTTGGTCTGGTGTCAGGACGCCTGGTGTCCGCGTGTTCCTGTGGTGTGGGAACAGCCCTGGGGAGTCGGTGGAGGGGGCCGGGCTGTGGAGCAACCGCCCAGGGTGTAGGCAGTATGTACGCTTTGTATCACCACAGGCTCTGTGACACAGAGTGACAAATCCCAGAGAAACTCCCATGGGACTTCCTGCAGGAAGAGGAAAAGGTGTAGCACTTGTTGGGCCCTAACTCTGGGAAATTCCCAAGTTCGGTGCGTTGCACAGGTTGTTTCCTTGGGAAATAACAGCTGTTATCATCCCCTTGTCTCGAGAGCGGGAACCCAGACTGCAGGCGGGACGTGACTCAGCAGAGGCCGCAGACTAGAAAGTGGTAGAGACGGCGGGCAGCCCTCCAGTTCAGTTCAGAGCTCCAAGCTGCTGCGGGCACCGCCCCTGCTTGGCCGCGACCACCCTGGGGTCCCGCTGGCCCAGCGGCTGCTGGGGGCCGATCTTCATGCATTTACTCAACAGATGGAAATCTGGCCCTACTGGCATTGATATTCTAGTGGGAGGAAACAGGAAACAAGTATATATACATTCATATACCGGTGTGTGTCGGGTGGTTATGAGTGCTGTGGAAAAAAGTAAACTAAAGAGATAAGGAATGCCAGGGACAAAACTACTATTTTATATAGAGTAGTCAAAGAAATCTTCTCTGAGAATGTGACGTTTGAGCAGAAATTCAAGAAGGTGAAGGGAGCAAGTATTGAGGCTACTGGGGAAAGAGAATTCTAGTAGGGATCAGCATGTGCAAAGGCCCTGAGGTAGACCCCACATTGTATTTATAGAAGAAGCCAATATCTTTGCAGTGCAAACAAGTTCATACATTCATGTCCCTCCCCGCTCGAGGTCCATAGCGGCATCAGCTAATGCAGCCAAGCTTCGCAATTTGAGTCAGGCTGACTGTAACTCCAGACCCAGAAGAGGCCATAGTCAGGGGCCCTGGGGTTCCTCTAAGGACCCTCATTTTCTCCACTTGTAAAAGGGGGCCAATAAGTCATCCCTACCCTGCTGATTGCACTGGGGGGCTATGACAGACACATGGAGATGCAGGCCTATGGACAGCAAAGTAGGCCGCTTCCCCAACGGGGCCTAACCTCCTTCTCTGGTTGTAACTGCTTCACGGATGGGCTTGGAGTAATACAGGGTAGGGCAAAAGTAGGTTTACAGTGGTTCGTATGGAAAGAAATACAATCATTAATAAATGATAGTACAAGAATAAATCCTGTGATTTGCATACTCACAACTGCAAACCCACTTTGCCCACCCTGTGTTTCCTTTGTCCAAAGCCGCAGTGTCTCCAGGGGCCATGCTGTCTCTGGCAGGATGGTTCTTTCTCTCACAGGACTTCCCCCTGCACTGTGAGGTGCTTAGCGCCCTGGCCTCAGCCAGTAGCTGCCAGTAGAGCCCCAGTCATTGCGAGACCCCCAGAATTCTCCCCTACTTCCCCAAGGCCTCTAGGGGAGGCAGCAGCTACCCCTAGCTGAGAAATAGTGGATGTACAGTTTTTATAAAAGGTTTGAAAACCACTGATCTCATCCAGCTTTCTTACTTTAGAGATAAGGAAACTGAGTCCCAGCCCTGGTTGGTTTGGCTCAGTGGTTAGAGTGTCAGTCACCAGACTGAAGGGTCTCAGGTTCGATTCCCAGTCAAGGGCACATACCTGGGTTGTAGGTTCAATCCTTGGCCCCGGTCAGGATCATGTGGGAGGCAACCAATTGATGTGTCTCTCTCACATTGATGTTTCTCTCTCTCTCCCTCTCCCTCCTTCCCACTCTCAAAAAAAAAAAAAAAAAAAATTTAATGGAAAAATATCCTCAGATGAGGATCAGCAAAGAAAAGAAAAGAGACAGGCCCAGGGAGAGGGGACCTGACTTGTCTTAGGTCACACACTGGGCTCAGGTTCTGACTTTCCTTTGCTGCAGCATTTCCCAATCTTTGCCTTAAGGAAGAATCACTCAGGGTCTAGTGTGTTTATTAAAATTCCAATGCCCAGGACAGTTCCCTAGGTTCCAGGCTGGGGCCCAGCCATCTGTGTTTAGTGCATCTCATACTTCACTGACTGCACAGACTGACTGCACAGCATCTCCTGGGGATCTCGTTACAATTCCAGGACTCCGCCGTTCTGTTTTTCACCAGCAACATGGAGATTCTGACCGTGCCGGTCCAGGGACCGCACTTTGAGTAGCAAGTCCCTGGGTGAATCCGTATGGTCAGGCAAGTTAGGGAATTACTTCCCAGGTCCTGGATGAGGGTTCAACTCTGGCTACAGGTTAGACTCACGCGAGGAGCTACAGAAAGGCCCAGGGCCAGGGCCCTCCCCCAGAAACTCTGTTGTGATTGGTTTGGGGGCCTCGCCGGGGCTGCAGGGTGTTTAAAAGTTCCTCAAGGAGTCTGATGATGGTCAAGGTAGAGGCACTGCCACAGTCCATTTCCAGGGAAAGGAGGCTTGTCCAGGTGCTGAACGCCGCAACCCCAGTGGGCGCGGGTCTCAGGCCCAGCTCTGCACGCAGACCTGATGGCTCGAGGGCTTCGTCAAGCGGAGGCCCCCCCTGGCCCAGCTCGTGAGTCGATAAAGGTGGCTGAATCTACACCGGGAGGGAGCTCCCCAGTCCTAGGGTGGAGTTCTGTGATGCTGGGGAGAGGTCCCCTGCCCCAGTCCTGCCTCATTTAATTGGTTTCGGCTGCCAGGCTTGTCTCCGAGATCCTGTCATCATTATAACGAGCTGCCAGGTAGCTGCCTGTCTCGGCGAAGCTGCTGCCAGCGCCTCCAGTGGGCATAGGTCGAGGCCTCTGCTTGGAAGAGGGGGTCCTGTGCGGTCAGTAACCTCCAGGGAAAGGACAGGCTGCTTATGAGGGTCCTAGGTCTGAGGGCAGAGATTGAGAGACACCAGAGGGGTGAGGGGCAACAAAAGGTTTCAGGTAAGTGCAGACCAGAGGGGCCGGTTCAGGATTAACAGCGGGATGTGGAGCTGTGGAGCTCGTCAGCGTGGCAGGGCGTCGGGACTGTGCCAGGAAGACCCCCTCGCCCTCCACGCTCCACACTCATGCCTACTTCGGGAAGCTCGTGCCCTTGGCCTGAGCCTCTGCTCCAGTGACAGAGACGGGGTCCTTCCAGGGTAAGAGCGCAGGCTCTGGAGTCAGACAGGCCAGGTTCCCTCTCCCTTGGCCACATGCTGCGTGTCCTCGTGCACATCACATTGTCTTTTTGAGCCTCAGTTTCCTTGGAGGTAAAACGGGAACACCGGTCGCACGGCACAGGGTTGTTGTGAGCCCCAGCGAGGATGTGTGCAGGCGGGCACGTGCTGAGGGCGCCCCGCTGACCACGCTCCCTTTTCTTTTGAAGGTCACGCTGCTCTCCTTTGCCGTGGAGTCGGAGTGCACATTTCTCGACTACATCAAAGGAGGGTGAGAAGAGAGGCAGCCTCAGGGAGAGGGAAGGGGCCTCAAACATGGGCATGAGCAGCTCTGGCCCCACCCCGGCCTCTGAGGCCCTGGCTGACGTCTGTGATCCTGGGCTCTGTCTGGGCAGCCCCTCGTGCCTGGGTTCAGACAACGCGCCCGGAGCCCTGCCTGCCCCTGGAGCCTGAGCGGCTGCAGAGGGCGTTCCTGGGCCATGCGGGCCAGCAGGTCCCATCAGATCCTAGTGCCCAGGTGCGGCCTGGAGGTGGTAGGGACTCCATGACAGAGTACCAAGGGATCAGGGAGGAGGAAGGAGCCCTGCCTGAGGAGTCATGAGGCCCAGGCTCTAGAGCCCTCTTTGCCCTGAATTTGCTGGATTCCTCTGGGCAGGTCACTTTTCCTCCCTGGGAATCGGTTTCCTCCTGCGAACACGAGAGGTTGGTGAATTCTCAGAGTCCTTCCTGCTCTGAGCTTCTGATACCTCTGGTCTTCTGGGGCTGTGGTTAACTTGCCTGTTGTCATCAGGGCCATATGAGGGGCAGAAGGGAACGGGAGATGAGCCAGGGAGTGGTCCCAGACCCAGCAGGTGGTCAAACATGGGTTTAAGGAGCAGAAAGAAGCAGAGGTTTTAGCATCCAGGCTAAGGCAGTTGCTCCAGCCAACAGCTCATGGAGAAAGAGCCTGACTCTGCCAAGGACAGGTGCCAGGTCAGAGTGTAGGTAGCCAAGAGCCCACAGGTGCAGGCAGGTGAGTAACTACACCTGTCTGGAAAGGAGACAGGTAGGGCAGCTGCCAAAGGTTCATCATAGCCAAGTGGGCACTTGGGTGCCTGGTTCTCCAGGGCAGAGGGAAAAGTTAGGGCCTGGGCAGCCACCCTCGCTCTCCCATGACATGATTGGGAGCTCTCCTTTAGCCACTGAGCACACCGTCCCTGCAGTCACCCAGAGCCTCTCCGCCCCCACGCCCTGCCCCTCCTGAGCCCACTCCCCACCCTGCCCTTGCTCCCTTCCCTCATCAAAACCTCTCTGTTCTCCACCCAGTAAGCAACCACCCCTTACATGTCATAGTAGCTGGTAATTTCCAACCAACCCTCATCCGCTTCGTCCTTCTCATTTATTTAAGACCCCAGTTTACAGAGCACAGTGGGCAGGGCGGGGAGGGTCTCCATCTTACATAGCTTTCCTGAGGCCACATGCCGGGCTAGTGGCAGGGTGCCTCCTGTCACCACATGCTGCCTTTCTTCCGCAGTGATGACTGGCCCAGGCGGGGTGGGACGCAGATGGGGACTGCTGAGTTAAAGGGCTGGGTGCCGTGACGTCTCCTGGAGAAGGAGCCTCAGAGGTGGGCGGGCTGCTGCGCAAAGCTGGCGCCTGGCGTGTTGGGCAAGTTCGGGCACTGGAGCCGCCCTGGCCCTCCCCTCCTCCACCCGCCCCATGCCTCTCTTCACACACTCTGGAGAGCCTGCGTGAGAGGCTGGCTCCAGGCATCGAGAGCCCGGCGTGCGTGTCCAGGCAGGCAGTGATGGAGACATCTGTCTAGGGATCCTCTCCTCCCTGACCTCCCTCCCCGGCCCACCTGGAGGAGTGGGGGTGCCTAGGGTATGGGCACCTCTTCCTTCACATCCGAGAAGGAGTCGGTTGCTCAGCAGCCTGTGTTCTGCCCTGCTGTGCCCTCAGGCAGGAGAGGTGAGCCTTCAGGGAGGAACTTTCCCACAAAAGTACGCACTTTCCAGTCCCTTCCTTCCCTGAGTCATTTCAGAACCCAGAGCAGGGAAGACTACTTAAGAATGAAGTCCTGTCTGTCCTTCGGCTATCGTCTTGCAGACCAGAACCACCCTCCCAAGGGCAGCCCAGGGAGCTGGGCTCTTCCCCTCCAAATGTTTCCTTTCCTCTAACAAAGATACAGTCTATATTCCACACTAAAAAGGTGACAAAGAACAGCAGATGTATAGGGTTGGTCAAATTCTATAACAAATAATTCCCCAACCTCAAGGCTTAGTACAAAAAATGGCTTATTTTTTATTCATGGGGTGGCAGAGATGAGCTGGGGGATGCTCCATACATTCACTCAGGGACCCAGGCTCTTGCCATCTTGTGGCTCCTTCTCCCTCAGAGCTTAGGGTCCGCTAGATGCTCTGTCCCCAGACAACAGATGAGGATGAAGAAATGTGGGGAGAAACGTCTCTGGCCAGCAGATGGCTTGCGTCTTTGGTTGCACGTCCTTCACACTTCCTAGGGGACAAAGGGTCCATGAGCAACAGCTCAGCTGTGTTCAGGTGGAGACAGGATTGTTGTTTCTAATAGGGACCATCTGAAAGGGACCATCTGCTAAATGCAGGTGAGGTGAGCCCAGCCTCATCTTACATCATCCTTGGCCCCAACCTAGAACCATCATAACAGAGTTTCCCCAAGTGTGAACCCAGAACTTCCCCCTCAGAATCCCAGATGAGGGCAGAGGACGTTCATTAAAGAAGCAGATTCTGGGCCCATCTCACCAGCTGAACTGGCATTCCTGAGATCTTCCTTTTATAAGCTCCCCTGGTGTCTGCTCACTCACTGCGGGAACCAGCGGACGGACTTTCTCGGGGCTCATGTCTTGTCAGCTTTGTTCTGTCAGCACAGAACCTGGAACAGCCAAACCCTCAGCAAACTCAACCCTGAATCCGAAGCCTCAAAACCTTTTTATTATGGTAAAATCCCAAACACATGCCAAAGTGGAGAGAAGGTATGCATAATACACCCCAGGTACCCTTCACCCAGATGCAACAATTACCCGCTCACGGCCAGTCTGTTCTGCCCACTCTCCCTTCCGCGCCATTATTTTGAAGCAAATCCCAGGCAGAGTTCATTCCCCCGAACACTTCAGGGCGCATCTCTGAAATACAAGGACTTTCTTTGTCAAACATAACCAAGTACCGCAGTCACACCTAAAAACTGGAAGTTCCTTAATACTGAATATCCAGTCCGTGTTCAGATTTCTCCAGTTGAGTTATAAAGTGTTTTAATTGGCTTATTTGAAGCAAAAGTCCAGACAAGATCCATATACAGGGATGGGCAAAAGTAGGTTTACAGTCATGAGAACACAAAACAGTTTATTCTTGTATTATTGTTTATTTGTATTACAACTGCAGACCTACTTTTGCCCACTCCTGCACTGCGGTTGGTTGGCTGGTCTCTCAACTCTCTTTTCATCTCTTGGTTCCCTGCGCCCACCCCCACCCCCACCCTGGGGCCCTCGAACCTGGAGCGTTTGCTAAGACAGCTTCCTACACCCACAGAGGGCTTCAGATTCGGTGGGTCTGCAGGACACTTAGGGCCCTCTAAGTCCCCAGGTGATCCTGCTACTGCTGGTCCACGGGTCTTCTCCCCAACTGGCGTTCACCGGCCAACCCCCCCTGGTGTCGTTGAACATGCTCCTCTGTCCCCTGTATTTCCTGTAAACAACTAGGTAGGTAGCCCTGGAGGCTCAGTCAGGTTAAGTTCAATTTTGAGGCAAGACAACTTCATGGGTGGCGTTTTGTTCTTCCCTCAGTAGATGCACAGTGTCTATTTGTCTCTCTCATTTGTCAAATAAGTTTTAACCCTGAATCTGACTCCAAATTTGAGCCAGAAGTAAGTGGGACTCAGTAGACTTCACTGGCCTCAGGTAGGCCCAGGGGCAGGTTCGGAGAGAAATAACTAAGGACCATCTCTCGCCAGCACAGGGCATCAGGATCCTCAGTGAGCTCTCACACTTCGACTCGGATCTCAGCAGGCCTTGGGGGAGGGTGCGGCTGGGGGCCTGTCCCAGTTTTCCAGATGGAGGGCCACGCACCCGGCAGGCAGGGGCGCGGTGGAGCCAGAGTTCCCACTCCCTCCAGGCTGTTCACCCTCCCCACCGCCCTGCTGTTCTCCTTCTTCTAGGACCCAGATCAACTTCACAGTGGCCATCGACTTCACGGCCTCCAATGGTGAGCGGGGGACGAGCAGGGGAGCTGGACTGGGGGAGCGGAGGGAGGGCTTTCCGGGCGGTGGCAGTTGGCCCCAGCTGGCAGCCAGGTCTCCCAGACTGGTCATCCTCACTGAAGAAGAGGTGCTTAGGCCTGGAGAGCCAAAGACAGAAACACGGCCACTATCAGATCTGGGCCCTGAGCCACAGCCTTGCTCTTGAGGACACCTAGTCTCCCCCTGGGGTGGGGGTGGGGGGATAGGACAGTGCCGCTCTGAGCCGTGGAGGGCCCTGGAGCAGGCACTTGCTCACAGGATCGAATCCCACACCCTCTGCAGTGCAGCCCCGGGCGGGGGAACGGAGTCGGGACTGAGCGCTGTGGTCCGGGCGGGCGAGGGCAGCCACACCACCCAGGGCCACAGTCCTCCGCTTGCTGGGGCTGCCCCGGCTCCTCCCCGCTCTGACCTGCTCCAGTACTGGGCTGGGACTGCGTCTCCAAGGGCCAGACTTTGTACTGTTAGAAGCATCGCAACCTGCTTTGGAGTCTGGACCCCTGTTAGTGGTGCTCAATGCTCATGTTTGTGCCAATCCGATGCCCAGGTCTCCTACTCCACAGGTGTTTCAGAAACCCCTAGCATCATAGATAGAGTGGCAGGATGCCAGAGTTGGGAGGGTCCTTAGTGACAATAACAGTGAGGAGAGTCATCATAACACCTGTTGAATCCTCTCAACAATCCTATGAGGTAGGGACTGTTATCATCCCCATTCTACAGAGGAGGAGACTGAGGCTGAGAGGCGAAGGAACTTACCCACGATCACACAGCCAGTAGCAGGTAGAGACAGGACTGGTACCTCTGCAGACTGTGCTGTCCTGCCTCTCACTAATAAATAAGTACAATATGAACAATGTTAGTGGTGACTGTGGATGAGGGAGGGGGAGGGAGGACTGGGAGGTTGTCACTCCCGGTGGACTGCTCAGGGAAGACCACACTGAGATGACAGGAGTAGCAACCGCAGAGGTGAGGGAGCGAGCCGTGTGTACATCTGCAGGAAAGTGTCCCGGAGCAGAGGGAACCACCACTGCCCAAGTCCTAGGGGGCTGAGTGAGTGACAGGGAGGGTGGTGGAGATGAGGGTGGAGGTAACCGGATCATGTAGGGGCCTGGTAAGGACTTTGGGGAGCCTCGGAGTGTTCTGAGCGGAGGAGGGGGGCCCGGAGCTGCCTGCAGATAGAGATGGTGCTGGCCCACCGGTGTGCTGAGCAGGCCGCAGCCGGGGGTCAGGTAGGGGTTGTCCTGCAGGCAAGACGTGGGGCTTGGAGTGTGCAGGCCAGCAATGCTCCATGTCCTCTGCCACAGGGAACCCCTCGCAGTCCACGTCCCTGCACTACATGAGCCCCTACCAGCTGAACGCCTACGCCCTGGCGCTGACCGCCGTCGGGGAGATCATCCAGCACTACGACAGTGACAAGATGTTCCCCGCCCTGGGCTTCGGGGCCAAGCTGCCCCCGGACGGCAGGGTGTCCCACGAGTTCCCGCTGGTAGGAGGCCTGGAGAAAGGGCTGAGGGTTGACCACGCTGGGGGAAGGGATGACGAGCTGGGGTGGGGTGCAGGGACTCAGGCGCAGCCTTGGGGGGCTGCCTGCCCGGCATGGGGAGTCTTGTGTCAGGGCCTCCAGAAACCCGCTCCCCACCCTGCTCACCAAGCACTCCCGTCCACGTCTGAAGCCACCCACCGTGGGCTCTGGCCTCCTTCCTGACAAGACCACGTGGAGGTGGAGTGGGTGTGTGGCGTCACTAGTCCTCAAGCCCCAGAAATGAGGATAGAGGGGTGTAGGTTGGGTGTGGACGACTGCGGGGAATTCCCTAATGGGTGCTGAGATGGGGGCCCTGTGGGGGTGACTCCTCAGGCCGCCTTCTCTCCCTCCCTGCCCTGCGCTGGGGACACTGCGGCGGTCACTGGATCACTCACAGTGACGCCCCTCACATGCCTGTGGGTGCCAAGCACTGTGCTGGGTACGGGACACGGGAGGATGGAGCAGCCCTGGCCCTTCCAGAGCTGCTTGGGTCCTGCCGTCATCTTCCAGCTGGCGGGGGGCTGGTCTGAGCAGGTGTAGAGTGGGGCGAGGAGCAGGGGCGGGCCCCCACCAGAGCATGCACTGCCCTTCAGGGCGGACCCTCCCTGGCCCACACCCTGCCCCACCCCTACAGAGAAGAGTGGAGAAGAGCCCAGGCCCGCTGTCCTCCGCCACCTGGTTATTCTCCCACTGACCCCGGCCACCACCTTCCCACCCCCCTTCCTGCCTGGGCTCAGCCTCCCCATCCCTGCCCCAGAACGGCAACCAGGAGAACCCCTCGTGCTGCGGCATCGACGGCATCCTGGAGGCCTACCACCGCAGCCTGCGCACCGTGCAGCTCTACGGCCCCACCAACTTCGCGCCGGTGGTCACCCACGTGGCCAGGTGGGTGCTGGGCCGCGGCCCCCATCCCGGCAGCCGCCAAGGCGTTGACCACACCTTCCCTCAGGAAGGTGGGAGGGAGTGTCTCTTCCCACTGACCTGCCTTTCAGGGAGCCCTGACCCTAGAGACCCCCTCCAGTCCAAGAGCTGTCCCCACCAGGGTGTTAAGGGCCCTTGTATGGGGGGTGGCATGCCCAGAGCCGCCCAGACAGACCTTGCCCGCCCCACCCCAGGAATGCGGCCGAGGTGCAGGATGGCTCCCAGTACTCCGTGCTGCTCATCATCACCGACGGGGTCATCTCGGACATGGCGCAGACCAAGGAGGCCATCGTCAACGTGAGCTTCGTGGGGGGACCCGGAACCCGAGGGACATGCTTTCCCATCCTTCAGGGAAACCTTGGGCCTGGTTGGTCCTCTCCCGCCCATTCTGGCTTCTGGCCGCAGCATCGGCGGGCCTGGCTCCCCACCCGCCTCTTAGCCACACAGGGGCCGCTCCCTCCAGTCACCTCCGGCTCCCTCATGAACCGGCTCTGAGACCTCAGCCTGGTCTGGCCAGGCAGAGTGTGGGCGCTCCAGGAGCCTGGCTCCCGCTGCGCCGTGGTCTCCGTGTATGGGCCCAGCCACAGAGGGCTTTCCCTCCAGGCCCACACACAAGGGTCCCACATGATGGAGGCCCGGGGCAGAGGGGGATGGGGTGTCTGGCAGAAGCAGGCCTGTGACCCAGATCCCTCTGCCTCCCTTCCTCTCTGGTGCCCGACCTCTGTGTCCCCGGGTCTGTGTCTGCAGCTGCCCTCTCTCCCTCTCCCCACCTGCCTGCATTTCTCTGTGTGTCTGTTCTTCTCCCCTCCATTTCTTCCCTGTCCTCCTGACTTTCTTCTTTGACCCACCCTCTGTCCCTATCCATGGTCTCTTCTTCCTTCTAACCGGCCCCTTGCTGGGTCCCAAGCACCCCATATCCTGCTGTCTCACAGGCTGCCAAACTGCCCATGTCCATCATCATCATCGGCGTGGGCCAGGCGGAGTTCGATGGTGAGTCCCCCTCCTCCCCCGTGCTGCCCCAGACGCTGCAGGCCCTTGAGAATGACCCTGTTCCAGAGAGTGAGCACTCACACTGGGCGTGGGGACTGTCTGGGTCGGCAGGCAGGGCGTCTGGGTGTTTGTTTGCACGGCGGCGTGTCAGGGTGTGGAGAGGAGGCCCCCAGTCACTGCTCCCTCTTCCAACCCTGTGAGCCCGGTGCGGGGGAGCCGGAAGCTGGGCTGGGGCACAGACTCACCTGGGTGGGCTCCTCCAGTCTCCTGGCCTCAGTTTCCCCATCGCTTACATGGGGTTCTGGTCTGACAGTCTCTGCCCTGGATGGGCCTGGGACTGGGGGGCATGTCCACTGTCCCCCCATTCCCACGCCCGTCCTTCCCACACAGCCATGGTGGAGCTGGACGGTGATGACATACGGATCTCCTCCCGGGGGAAGCTGGCTGAGCGGGACATTGTCCAGGTGAAGCCCAGCCCCTGCCTGCCCCTTCCACACTCCCTGCTGGGGCTTTTCTGGAAAGGACCCCGGAGGGAGGCGCGGGGAGCCCGAGTGGCCTGGCCGCCGCAGGAGGGAACAGGGGTCAGTCCTCAGGTCTCGTGGTCTCTGGGCTGGAATGTCTCAGCCATGTCCAAGACTCACCCCAACACCGTTGTTACCACCCCCCCACCCCCGGCCAGGCCTCCTGTCTCCTCCAGAGCACCAGCCTGGGTACTTGCACCTTCTGCTGTTTTCTGCTGGGCCCCTTCCCAGTGAGCAGGCAGGGCCCTGGAGGGGAGGGGACCTCAGTGTCGCTGCACCGCTGGGCTCATTGAACGGGTGTCTTAGCAGCTGCTTGTAGGGTGCAGACGTAGTGAGCAGAAAGTCCTGGTCCTCAGGGCGTCCCTGTCCAGTCCAGCCTCAGAGGCACCTCAGCAAGCACCCCCCCCCCCCCGGCATCCCCTGCAGACAGTCCTACTGCTTAGGAGATTTGGAATAAAAACACATTCTCCGTACCCCCTAGATTAAAAAAACTAGGGGTGGGCAGGGGTCGTTCCAGGTGTGGAGACCAGAGGGGGGCTAGCAACCAGAGCAGGGCAGTCTGGAGGTGGGACCGCGTAGGCAAAGGCCTGGAGGCGGGGGGCACCCCTGAAGGAAGCAGGGGGCCTGATTGAGGAAAGAGGAGCAGCAGGGTGGAAGAGACAGAGAGGCCTCTGCCGGGAGGGGAGGGAGGCTCCCGGGGGCTGGATTTCAGGAGCCAGGGGATTCGTTCAGCATTTCCTACCCTGCTAAGTGCCTGGGGCCGGGCCTCAGACTGAGGACGGTTCAGGGCCACATCCTGGCGTGGACCAGGTGCTCACTAAGTGTTCGAGTGAATGAAACAACAGACGTGATGACGTTTCCTCAGAGCATCCAAGTGGGCGGAGGCTGGGAGGAGAGGGACCAGATCAGGCCTAGCGATCTGGGGGCTGGGGTCCAGGCAGAGACCTTGCCTAACCCTGCCTTCCCCGCCGGCCAGTTCGTGCCCTTCAGGGACTACGTGGACCGCACGGGCAACCACGTGCTGAGCATGGCGCGCCTGGCCCGAGACGTGCTGGCCGAAATCCCGGACCAGCTGGTGTCCTACATGAAGGCAAAGGGCATCCGCCCGAGCCCCCCACCTGAGGCCCCGGCGGGCTCCCCCTCGCAGTCTCCAGCCCGCACACCCCCTGCCTCCCCCTGAACACACACATCTGAGCCTGGCCCACGGCGGGTGGCTGGGGCCCAGGGGGCCAGTAGAAGGGTACACGGGGTCCCTCGACCACCCTACAGTCTGCCCAGTCTAGCCTTTGGAACCCATGTGCCTGGGAGGCTGGCAGAGGGCGGGGCCTCTGGAGACTCCTTCCCAATTTCCTGGCTTCCCTTACGGCCCAAACCCAGTGAGTTGGGGGGTACAGGTGGTAGAGATGGGGTTCTCGGCCCCTGCTCTTCTCTTTTTCCCCTGACATTTGGTTCTAACCCAGCCAGGCAGGTTTTAACAATCAGGATGATTGGGGTCCCCCTCCGCCCGCTTGGACAGTCCCATCTGCTCCTGTATGGCCCTGAAGCCTGGGCTGGGCCTCCCTCCTCCAGGCCCCCTTCTCCCTATCCTCTTCCTTGCAGTCTACTCCTCTGCCTGGCCCCTGGCCCACCCCAGTATCTGTCCTGTCCCTGTCCCTGGGAACCCCATGAGGCTGGTGGGTTGGCAGGAACGCCTGGACATGCGACCTCCCAGGGACACTTGCTGCAGCGGGGACCCTACAGCTGCAGGGAGGGGAGGCTGTGACGGTGGACCCAGGCCACACGAGGGCCAGGAGCGGTGCCCCTCAGGCCCAGACGACACACAGACCCACAGGCCTCTCCCTGGAGCCCCCACCGTCCCCCAGAGGCCACCAGGATCTTTGGTGCCCACGCCTTTGCTGTCCACAAAGAGGCTGGGCAAGGAGCAGCCCTACCCCAGCACTCCCTCACTGCCCCTCTGTCCACAGGGACAGGAACCAGGAGCCCTGGGTTCAAGCCCTGGCTGCAGCCCTGGCTGCTCTGGGGACCCAAGCAAGGGCCTTCTGGGTCTCGGCTTCCACATCTGTAAGACAGGAGGGTTGACCAGATGGTCCCGGGGTTACCTTCTGCTCTGATGCCCGGAGAGTCCATTCAGCCCATGCCCAGCTTTCCCCATCCCACTGCCCACCAGTGCACCCTCTCACCCCAGGCCGTCTTGGCTCTAGGGTCACCCTGTTCCATCCTATCGTCACCTTAGTCCTTTAGCCTTGGGCTGTCATCTGAGCAGAAGCTCCTGCTCCTGCCATGGGAAAGGTGATTTCACCCCTGGGCCCACCCAGCTGCCCAGCCTTCACCCCGTGGGGCAGGCCATGCATGCCAGTCCCTCTGCCGCATGGGGCTCCTCAGCCCACTGAACGTCCTGTGCATGGGTGGAGACCAGGCCCCACCCTGTCTGCTCCTGACACCACTCCCTTCCTGTCATGCATGATGGTGGTGTTTTTATGCTGTCTGGTCCTGTGCCTGTGTCTGAGACAGTCTCTGTGTGGAATTTGCCTTAAATTGAAGTAAATTTGGTTCTTTTACTAAGGTTCCTTGTTTTCCTTTCTCCTGGGAAAAAAAGTGCAGAGGTTGCTGTTTGTCCAGGTTCTCATCTCTCTCTTTCTTCCATTCTTTTGTTTGGATTTACTGAGCAACTACTAGGTGCAGGGTCTGTATTAGGCACTAGGATGCAACAATGAATCAAGCACTGACCCTGTCTCCACATGGATAACAGACATAAATAAGACGGGGAAATGCTGCAAGCACACGAACAAACAGATAAACAACATAGTTTCAGGTGTGATAAGTTACAAAATGAAATTAGAATAAGAAGAGAGAGTAACAGGGTGGTATTTTATTTTATTTTATTTTATCCTCACCCGAGGACATTTTTCCACTTTTTGTTCAGATAGAGTGGGAGGGAAAGAGGGAGAGAAACATCGACGTGAAAGGGACACATCAAGTGGCTGCCTCCCGCACGACCCAACCAGGGCTGGGGACAAACTGCAACCGAGGTACACGCCCTTAGCGGGAACCGAACCCAGGTCTCTCTGGACTGTAGGCCAATGCTTTAACTGCTGAGCCAAACTGGCCAGGGCCAGGGTGGTATTTTAGATGAGGTGGTCACGGAGGGCCTCTCTGAGGAGGTGGCAGTTGATTCTGAAGGAAATGAGAGAGGGAGGCAAGAGAGTTCCAAGTAAAGGGAACAGCAAGTGCAAAGGTCCTGAGGTGGGAGCTTAGTGTGTTTGGAGGACAACAGGAGTCTGGTGTGTTCGGCTCTGCACTAGGAAGGGGTAGTGTAGATTAGGTCAGGGAGCTGGAGGATCCAGAAGGCATGGGCCTGGAAGGCTATGGAAGGCCTCGGCATGAGTCCGAGTGAAACAAGCAGCCACTGAGGAGGTGAAAGAGGTAACAAGATCGGATTATTCTCTTAAGTGGGAAAAACAAACAAACAAACAAATGAGAACTTTATTTAGATGTTAACATGTCCCCTTCCCCAAAACTAGTTCCATCTTAAAAAATGAAATTAATATATATATATATATATATATATATATATATATATATAAAATAAAGCCAGTGGGTCACTTAATTGCACTTGATCACTCATTCGCTCATCTTTCAACAAGTACTGACTGACGTTAGTGCCCGGGCTCGCTCACATTTGGAGACACGCTCACATGGCTGCACCCTCAGGGAGCTACCCTTGCTCTGCAGCTGTGCGCAGGACCTCCTACCACCCTGGGGTCCCGAGGCCAAGCCAGAGGGAGGGCCAGGGTCTGTGGGCACCGGAGTGCTCCTCCGTGCGGCGGCCCCGCCACGTCTCCCTCCCAGGATGACTGTGTGGCCAGAGGAGTGACATGTAGACATGCCCACGTGAAGCGTGTGCCGTGCACAGGACCTGCTGCACTTCAGCACACACCAAACACCACTTGCCCCTTTGTCCCTCTTCACATAAATCACTGTGGCCATCGGGGACCTGGCTGCTCTCAAGCCTCCAGAAAGCATTCCCGACCTGCACATCACAAGACACTTGGTACTAATTCTACCAAAGTCTGGGACTTGTTTACGTCTTAGGATCTTGTAGTAAATTAGCTAATTCCTAGCTGTCCCTGTAATTAGCTGCCCCTCTGACTTGCTTTGAGTGGGAGCTGGGTGGAGCCACGGTTCAGAAAGAGGGAAGTTCCCATAAGCGGGGGCCCATTTTACCTCCCCTCGGGCGCCTGTGGGAGAACTCTGGAGGAGGTACCCCTGGGAGGAGTACCCCTGGGAGGAGTACCCCTGGGAGGAGGTACCCCTGGGAGGAGGTACCCTGGGAGGAGGTACCCCTGGGAGGAGGTACCCCTGGGAGGAGTACCCCTGGGAGGAGGTACCCCTGGGAGGAGTACCCCTGGGAGGAGTACCCCTGGGAGGAGGTACCCTGGGAGGAGTACCCCTGGGAGGAGTACCCCTGGGAGGAGGTACCCTGGGAGGAGTACCCCTGGGAGGAGTACCCCTGGGAGGAGGTACCCCTGGGAGGAGTACCTCTGGGAGGAGGTACCCTGGGAGGAGTACCCCTGGGAGGAGTACCCCTGGGAGGAGGTACCCTGGGAGGAGTACTCCTGGGAGGAGGTACCCTGGGAGGAGTACCCCTGGGAGGAGGATTGAGGCTGAGCCACTGCCTCAGGCGGCCAGAGCATCTTCACTGTGCTCAACGCTGTAACTCCTCTCCCTCTCCTGGCCTCCTTCCCGAGATGGTTCCACGGGACACTGGGGCCCTGGCATGGATGTCAGGAAACGGCCCGCTCTGAGTGCCTCTCAGAAAACCCCGTGGTTTTTGCCGTAGAGACCAGTTTGACTTGGTCCGACACAGTGGTTTTGACCTTGGGGTCAGTGTGTGTGTGTGTGTGTGTGTGTGTGTGTGTGTGTGTAGCACTATACCAAGCAGACCATGTTGTATTGGGAATTTCAATGAAGACAATCTCTCAGACCAACAAGCAGGCCTGAGGCCTACTCCCAGGAGGCCAGAAGGAAGGCCTAGACATGGGGGAGGAGAGATGGTAACCTCCAGATACTCTGAAGAGAAGGAAGGGCCTCCAAAAGGGCTCTCCCAGCCATGTCATAAAGAGAAACCACAGAGCAGAAAGGAGGGTGCTCAGAGATTCCCAGGCCCAGACTCTCGGCTCCATGGTTGACGTTATTTGTGCTCCTGCATCGGGTTAGAGGGTTGTGTGTGACAGCTGGGGGAGGGCCGGCAGAGAAGGTAGTGGCTGTTGGGGTGAGGAACCGGCATGTGGGGGTGGGGGTTTGGACTCCGGCCACCACCAACAGCATGAGCCCATTGGCCAGTAGCCGCACCAGCAGGATGAGGCCAAAGAGTCAAGTCAGAGCAGTCACATGGGTGGCTGTGAGCCTGGTGGGGACCGTGGCACTGGGCTCCATTCTGCTCTGGACGCACAAGGGCAGCGTGGAAACCCGTCCGGGGGCCGCCTCCCTCTCTCCCCTGCTGAGCCCCACTCTGCTCACAGACCCCGTGTGCAGGAGATGCCCTGACATGCATTAGCCCCTCGCCACAACCTGGAGGCACAGGCTCTGGAGCACCCTGGGTTCAAGTCCTGCCTCTGCTACTTGGTGCTCCATGACCTTGGGAAAATCACCTAATGCTTCTCTACCTCAGTTTCCTCAACTGTAAAGAAGTGAGGTAACAAAGAAAACACAACGGATGTCAATAGTAAGTGTCACCAAAGGGCGAGATTCAGGTAATTTCCTTTTTCTTTTTAATTTTTTATTTCTAAAATTTCTTCATTGAGTACAAATGGAATCTGATAAATGAATATCATGGATATAGAGATAGATGTACATTTTCTTTTTTTAAGTAAACTTTGCCCTGACCGTGAAACAGGCAGATTTTATTTTAAAAATATTTTTACTGATTTTTTTTTTTTTTTATCCTCACCCAAGGACATTTTTTTTCCATTTTTTGTTCAGGTAGAGTGGGAGGGAGAGAGAGGAACAGAGAGAGAGAAAGAAACATCGATGTGAAGGGACACATCGAGTGGTTGCCACCCGCACAACCGACCAGGGCCGGGGACAAACTGCAACCGAAGTACGTGCCCTTAGCGGGAACCGAACCCGGGTCTCTCAGGACCGCAGGCCGACGCTCTAACCGCTGAGCCAAACCGGCCAGGGCTAGTTTTACTGATTTTTAAAGAGAAAGAAAGGAGAGAGAGAGAGACAGAAACACTGATTCTCCTTCTGGGGCTTGAGCCCGAAGCCCAGGCAGGTGCCCGGAGTGGGGATTGAATCGGGACCTCCTGGTGCACAGAAGGACACCCAGTCAACAGCCAACCAGCCAGGGCTGAAACAGGCAGACTTTCATTTGAGGTTCAAGTAAGAAAGAGGATGCAAAAGGGCTTTAGAAGGGGTCAAATCCAGACCACTGGTTCCCAAATTTGTCTGCACATTAGACTCATCTGAGGCGTTTCAAACATACTAACACATGGGTCCCACCCTAGGGACGCGACTCAGTTGGTCTGGGCTTTGGCAGGCGGCTCTGCGGGGCAGGCCGGCGTGGAAACCACTGCCCTCTGTGGCTGGTTGTCAGCTCTTCCTCCTCACCCCGACTCCATCCCACATGCCACATGCTGGGGCGGGGGGGGGGGGGGGGTCCGATTGAGAGGACTCGGCCTGGGAGACGGGTCAAGCCCCGGGGCTAATGTCTCCACCTGCTACCCTGAAGAGCAGACATGGATGCCTCTCGCCTTTAGTCGGGAAAGGCTTGCCTGTTAACTCAATGAATAAATATTTCCTGAGTGTTAACCCTGAGCCAGGTCCCGGGGATCCAGCAACAAACAAGGCAGAACAGAGGGGTCCTCATTCCAGTTCCTATCCCCTTTCCCCCACACTGGGGACAGGGCTGGAGACCCCTCTCTAACTGGCTCAGAGCCGGGCCTGGAGGTCCCCTGAGCCCCTCTGCAGATCCTGCCTGAAGAACCCGCTTGGTCTCTGGGACCTGAGGACCTCAGGCCTGAGGACAGCTGGGAAGAGACCAGAGAGGGGCCTCGGTGGGTTCTGCCACCAGCACTTTCTCAGCTCCCAGACTTGTGCCAGGGAAGGAGGGAGAGAGAGACCAGCCCCAATCCCTCCCCACCCCCAGGACTTGTCACTGCTTTGGTATTCCTTCCACCTGGCCCAGCCCTGCCACCGGGGCCTGATGAGGGAGGAGGGGAGGAGAGGGAAGGAGAGGCTCAGGGACCCACCTGCTCCCCTAGCATCCGTCCAACCATCCCTTCCCATAGGTTGAGCTAGTGGGCGCTGGAGCCTGGGTTCAAACCCCGCTGGTTACGTGCCTGTGGACAAGTTACTCAATCCTCTGTGCCTCACATTCTTCATCTGTAAAAACGGGGCTAGGAACAGGCCCCGTCTCATGGGCTTTATGTGAGGATGAAATGGTACAGTTAAGTGTTCAGAACAGCGCTTGGCCCATAGTAGGTGCTTGGTAAGTGATGGCTGTGTTCTGCTCCTGCTCCCCCTCCGTTCCAAAAAGCTCTACCCCTGCCCAGGCTCCATGTATCCCCCGCCCACCCTCTCACCCCACACCCTGAGCCCCATCACCCCGTTCCACGCTCCTTTTCTTAATCAGCCTCAAGCTAAGTTGTGACCTGATCCCCCTTGGCTGACATGTGTTGAGAACTCACCTCTTGCCCCAAAGTTCACTCTGGAGTCTACCTTGAGTCCCTCCTGCCGTCTCCTCGCCTGCCTCATGCTGCTCCGAGGTTCCTGGGCTCTGCTTGCTGACTTGAACCCTGTGACTCTGCACAGAGAAAGCCAGGCTCTGGCCAGGTGTGCAGTCCCCTCCAGCACCACCTCTGGGGAGCCTCGCTGGCTGCCTGACAAGGGGCAGAGCTGAGAGGGGAGGGGCGGGCCCCGGGCCACTTGTATACTGGGTCCCCCAGAGGACAGGGCTCTATCCGCTCTCCCAGCCGCCCCAGGAATCACACCCTACCTGCTTCATTAACTCACTGACCCCCAGGACAGAGGTGTTGGTGCCTGCCAGGTCCCTGGGCCAAAAGCTTCAGCAGGACCTGCCCCACCCCTGCCCCGGGCCGGGGATCACTCACTACAGCTCACCTCTTCTGTCTTTCTCTGAGCACTATCGCCCGGAGACTGCCCAGAGCAGGCCAGGCTGACCGAGGGGATCCAGGAGGGGAAGACACTGGGGGAGAGAGAATCAGCGAGGGGCCAGGAACAGAACAGGCTGGGCCACGGGCATGGTCCTGCGTAGTCTAGAGGTCAAAAGGGGCCCAGTAAGGGCATCTGGACCAGGCTTCGGTGGCTTCTGATGCCTGCATTTCTCCACCTCACCTCGTGCCTGGCTGTGCTTGTGTGCCTCCAGTGACGGAGAGCTCACTGCCACCGAGGCATCCCTTGTAGGACCGAGCAGAGGGATGGGGCCACGAGCGAAGACGGATTCAACAGGTGGGAAGGCTCCGTCCTGTCTCCTGCCCTCCCGCTTTCTCCTTTCTCTCTCTCTGCATCTCTCTGCATGTCTTTGCTTGTCTCTCTATGAAACTGGGGCTTCCTCTAACTCAGCTGAAGAAGTCACCCGAATGAGTACCAAGTGCCACGCTCGGTGCCCTGCACACACCGGACGGCAGTGGGAGGTGCACATTGCTGTGGTCACCAGGCCGGGACAGACATCTGCAGTGAACACAGCGGCAGGAGACCGGCCAGAAGCCATCTCTAGTCTCTCAGAGCAAGCTCCCCAGGGCACCGAAAACCCTTGCAGGAGGCCAGTGTCGTGCAATTCTGGGAACGCCCACAGAGCCCATGAGTGAGCAAATCCAGTTTCCCCAGCTGCTCCCCAGACCCCCACCTGTCACACCCCAGCTGTGCCTCGAGGGCATCCAGAGATTGACACCTCCGGGCAGAGGGCTGCACCAGGGGGCACCTGGCATTGGAACGAGTTGGGGGGGTCACCAAATGTGAACCCTTAGAGGCAGACCTTGGGGAAGGGCCAGGGCTCAGGGAGACAGGGCGGACAGGCCATCAGAGCACTGCTGTCCCCGGGAATCGGGTTCTTCCCGGAGGGAACTCCAAGCCTGCAAACAGCTACACGTGTGAGACAAGTTCACAGGCTTCGCCCGGCACAGGACGGCGGGGCCACGTTAATGAACAGAGTGCTTTGTCATTAACAGGCGGTACCAATTAGTAATCAGCACCAAAGCAAGATCCTTGAAAAGTCTCTTTCCTCCCCCTCAGCAGTTATTTTTATTTCTGACTATATAGGAATACCCAGTCATTGTAGATCTGAAAATACAAATACTTATAAAAAGGAAAATAACACTCCCTCCCACATTCACCCTATAATTTTACCACCCAGAGATGTGTTGCCAATATTGTGGTGTATTTTCCTTAAGTTGTTAGACTTTCCCTTCCTTTAGAGAGTCCCCCCCCCCCCAGGATTATTTACTCAGCAAAGCCCTTCCCCAGAGAGCACAGCCCCTGCCCCGCGAGCGAGTCCTGCCCCGAGGGGATTCTCCTGAACTCCCACGCTGGCCTCTGCTGGTGCTGTGTCCAGGCGGGGGGACAGGAGCTGCGGAACAGGAAACGCAGCGGGGTGGCGTCCCCCAGGCCAGGTGGTCAGGAGCAGCAGCCGGCTTTCTTCGGCGGCCTCTCAGGGGCCACCTCCACCAGAGAGCCCTTCAGGCGGTCTTCTTGCATCTTGAGTGACCTGCACGACCACACCCAGGCCTCAGTCCTCTCTCAGCTCCCAGGGGCAACAGGGGGGAGCCTGTGGGTGCAGCTGGGAGGCTGGAGGGCTGCACCCCTGAGCTTCTCTCTCCTACTTGCTCTGCCCCTGCCCTACATTCCACATGGCACCAGAAAAACGGGGCCACAAACACTTTGGCTTCTGTCCCTTTTCTGTCATTCTTCCCAGCCTGCTATGTGCCAGGCACTGTGCAAGGGACTCTGATCACGACACTGAAGCCAGCATGTCTTGGCCTTGAGCAGCGAGAGAGGCAGAGAGGAGACAGATTGATCAGGACCCAGGAATGGGGACTTCACACCAGGTCCTGGAGGGATTAGAAAGGAAGCAGGCAGTGGACGGGCTGAGACGCAGCCGTGGACAAGGGCTCGCTAGCAGGAAAGGGGGTGCATCCCGGGCAGAGAGCAAAGGCTCAGTGTTAAGAGAAAGCTTGGGAAAGTCAAAGAAGCGCACGTTCACTCATTCACAATGTGTTTACTATGTGCTGGACACTTTGCTGAGTCCCAGAGCTGAGGACGGAATGCGCAGAAAGAAGCCCCGACCGCGGGCGGGCGTTCAGGGTTCAGTGCGCCTGGGGAAAGAGCCTGGGCTTTTATCCTAAAGCAAAGGGAAGTCATTGAGCAGGTTTTTGCCAGAGGGCATCATGACTAAACAAGTTTACAGATTAGCAAATCACTGTAGTCATTTTGTCAGAGAAGGAGCTTAGAGACCAACCGATCTGATACCCCTCCCTCTTACTCATTCCATGCATTCATTGAGCACCTACTATTCCAGGCCCTGCCCTTTAGGATCTACAGCCCAGGGAGGGAGGAGGCAGGCAAATGCACGTGTAATTACAATATGTCCCGAAGTGCTTTGAAGGACATAGACAGAGAGACCTGTGATCCAGAACAGTGGTAGGAGGGGGTGTGGTCAGGGGAGCCCCTCTGAGTGGCTGAAGCTTAGTGAATGTGGGGTGTGTGTGTGTGTGTGTGTGTGCATGTCCTGTGCACGCACATGCAGGGAGATGGCCCTGGAGACCATGCAGGACATTGTGAGGCATTTGGATTTTATTCTAAATCCAGTGGAAGTCACTAGAAGTTTGGAAACACTTTACCGATGAGAAAACTGAGGCTCAGAGAGGGGACGTGTTTGGGGAGGTGATATAGTGAATGGGACTGCTGGAACTGGAGTCGGGAGACTCTCCACACAGTGCTCTCTCCGTCCCTACACTGCTGAGCCCTGTGTTCCATAGGAACTTCCCACACTAGTGGGCTGAAGGCTGCCCGGAGGGCTCTGGGTGGGAAGCGGCGGGGTGGCGCTCACCTGGCCAGGTTCACCATGGGCTCCAGGATGTTGTGACCCAGGGCAGCGCTGCACTCTTCAAAGGAGATGCCCATCTCCTGCAAACCAGACGGACAAGCTACGGTGCCTTGGGGAGACACGGAGTCCAGGCAGCAGCCCCCACCAAAAGACTGGCCAACCCCAAAGGGTAGGCAGCCCCATCTCCACGTAGCCCCTTGTCCCCCTGCCTCGCCCCTCTGCCCACTGCCCCTCCACCCTGGCTGGCCAAGGTGTCACAGATGACATCCCGGAAACATTCTACATTCAGAGTGATGGTGGGAAGGAAGCCAGTGTCCCAACTTGGAGAAATGTCCTTGATATCTTTAAATCATTTGTTATGTTTTTTTTTGTTTTTTTTTAATGTTTAAGGGGGGAAATATTAGAAAAGATAGCATTAAAAAGTTCAAGATACAACCCGGCTGGTGTGGCTCAGTGGTTGAGCATCGACCCATGCACCAAGAGGTCGTCAGATCAATTCCCGGTCAGGGCACGTGCCCAGGTTGTGAGCCCGGTCACCAGTTGGGGGCATGCAGGAGGCGGCCAATCAATGTTCTCTCTCATTAATGTTTCTATCTCTCTCTCTCTTTCCCTTCCTCTCTCTCTCTAATATCAATAAAGAAAACAATTGTTTTAAATACAAAATATATACCACTCCCGTCAGCATATATATTTCCATCCTGTTATATAACCCTTTTAGTGTGTGTGGGGGTGGGGGCTACACGTCATTCTAGGTTAAGCCAATGAAACTGCAGTTTTGTCCCTGAACAGTCTAATATCAGCAGTCTCATTAGGGGCCAACCTACCCTGTACTCAGATTTGCAGCTGCTTTTCTGACTTCACAGTGTAGTGTGAACACTTCTTCCACACCCTTGCATGTGTTCCCAGGACCTCAGTGGTAGATGCCGGCCTCACAGGAGCCCGCGATTTAACCGCCAACTGCCGCCCAATGTTTATCCTTATAAATACTACTGTAAACATCATCCTCTGGTTCTACATTGTACACAGGCATCCATTACGTTATTCTCCGGTTATTATTTCTGCTGCTTTTAGGATAAATTGCTAGAGGAGGAATTACGATGTCAAAGAGATGAGCTACTACTTTTAAGAGGAAAACATTCCCACCGAGCAGGCGCCGCAGTGACGACCTCAGGGCTATGAGAAGTGGGAAGAGAAATGGGAAGGAAATACCAAGTGAAATGCCAGGAGGGTATCAGAGGTGCGGCAAGGGGTGGACTCTTTTCTCCTTTTCCTTTATTGTTTTCCAGACTTTCTGAAATGTGGTCAAATTCTGTTCATAAATAAATAGTACCCGCTGGTGGTGAGCCCTTTGATGTTAATCTTCCTGGGGAAGAATTTGAGTCTTAAAATAGATTAAATTAGAAGGAATGTTATGTTAATTAGAGACCAGAGATAAAATTAAGATTTGATTGGGCATTTTAAGTGAAGCATCTAAAACCTTTTTACTCTGAAGATATTTTTTATGTAGGTCAGGACATTGGGTGGGGATCTGCTAATTCAGCAGTGGGGCTCACTGCCATGCCCGCCATGACAGCCTCCTGCTTGGGTCCAAGGCTGGGGTGGCGGGGGGCAGAGGTGGCCAGGCTGCCGTCCACTCTGACCTGGCCTTTGGCCGGGCAGGGGCAGAAATGGCCAATGAGTCCTTCTTGGTCGCCCAGACCAGAGTGACCTACTCACTACCCTCCAGGGAAGGGTCTGCCCAGTCCAGGCTCGGGGAGAGGCTGAGACCCACGTGCTCACCTGGGCCAGTTTCTGCCCAGCCTCGGTGGACACCCGCCGCTCCTCATCACAGTCCATCTTGTTTCCCAAGAGAAGAATGGCTACTCCATCGGACCCGGAGTCCTGCGCACAGAACACATTCCCTCAGCCACACACGCTGGGTGCCCGCTGTGAGCCAGGCCCTGGGTGGAGCTGGCCTTGACCTCCAGGAAGCTGGCAGTGTGACTCCTCCACCCCACACGCCCACTTTTCCATGTCACACTCACTCCACACCCTTCTAATCACAAGACTCTCCCCTCCATCTGCAGTGAGGCTGCCCCTTTTATCTGCCTGCAAGCATGGCCCATTTTCCAAGGCCAACCTCAAAGGCACCTCCCCCAAGAAGTCTTCATGGATTGATTTTGCCCATGGCTGGCTCTCTCTTTCTGCCTGTGCTCAACAGCCCAGTGCTTGGTTACCCAGGGAGCCTTGGCTCATTTCCTCATTGTTTCATGAATAATAATAATAGCTTTAGTTTACTGAGTGCTTACTATATACTAGGTGCTGTGCTGAAATCAATTATATCAGTTAATCTTCACAACTCTATGAGAGAAGTTGGAAAATGGAAGTTCAGAGAGGCTAAGTCATGTGTCCAGGGTCACAGAGTTGGGGTGGGATAGTTGGGTCTTGTCTGACCACAGCCCAGTCACCCTTATATATTACCTTATTCTACTTCTTTTGCATCTCTTCAACCAGACTAGAAACGTATAGAAAAAAGATGATATGTCTTATTTCACATCCTTCTGCTATGCTAGTACATATTGCAGAAGTTCAGCATATGTATATCAATTAAGTATATGGGGGAAAGAACTAGAGATGTGTGGACAAAGGAATTGTCACCTAGAGTGGTACTGGAATTGCATTATCCCCAGGTGTAAAGAAGACATCACGGAGCTGCTCTGTGTAGGAAAGAAATGCTCATAGGATAAAGGAAGTAGTTTGTTTTGGAGGCTGTACTGTGTGGTTGTGGTTCCTTTGTACTACCCCTAGCCCTTCCAGCCACATGCCCTCAGTGAGTTTTGTCATTTATGTTTCTGTTGTATCATTTGTAATCCTGGAAGAAAAGTCAGAGTGAGCAGGATACCAGTTCCTCTTTGACTCCAAAAACTAGGACCAACCTTAGCAACCATCTGCTCACCTGGAGACAGTCCAGCCAGTAGCGTACGTGGGCAAAGCTCTCTTGGCATGTGACATCGTACATGAGCACCACTCCATCAGCCTTGCGGAGCAGCTGCCGCGTCATGCTGTGGTACCTGCCCGGGAACCTGCGTGAGGCCAGGCCTGGGGGCGGGTCCCGGGGCGGGGCCTCTCAAGGCCACAGCCACTCCGTTGGCAAAGTGGGAGAATCGATCTTTCCTGTTTCTTTTCTTTTCTTTTTTTTTTTTTATCCTCACCCGAGGATATTTTTCATTTTTTGTTCAGGTAGAGTGGGAGGGGGGGGAGAGGAACAGAGAGAGAGAAAGAAACATTGACGTGAAGGGACACATCGAGTGGCTGCCACCCGCACAACCGACCAGGGCCGGGGACAAACTGCAACCGAGGTACGTGCCTTTAGCGGGAACCGAACCCGGGTCTCTCGGGACCGCAGGCCGACGCTCCAACCGCTGAGCCAAACCGGCCAGGGCGATCTTTCCTGTTTCTCATTGCTTCCCAAAGAGAGTGTGTATATACTTTCCTTTTTAGAGTGCAGTTATTGTTGAATAGGTAACAGTTCTCATGGCTCAGATGTCAAAAGGTACCAAGGGGCACCCAGTGAAAAGTCTCCGACACCCATTCTGCAGTCACAGTCCCCCTCCTCAGAGGCAACCAGGGTTACCAGTTTCTGAAATATTTTCCAGAGGTATTTTATGAATATACATAAATGTATATGCAGACACACATATCTATACACACATACACGCACCTACCCTTTGTCCCTGCTAACACATGTACAGGGTAAAACCCTCACTGTACTCGTTAATGTTCGGTAATCTCTACTTTGTTTTTTCTAGTCAATAAAATGTCTTGGGGGTATTTCCCTGTTGGTACATAATGAGGGTCCTCAGTCTTTTTTGTGGCTTCATACTATTCTGTTGTGTGGATACACCTTGACTTATCTCACTGGCTCTATTGATGATGTTTAGGTTGTTTCCGGTGTTTTGTAATATAAACGTTGTTATGAACAGTCTCGGTCCCTTTCATATTATCGTCATATACGAGTTTCTCAGAAGAGTGAATTTCTTGAAATGGAACTGCTGGGTCAAAGAAGTTCTGGTCACTGCTGCCTAACTGGCAAGTGGAAGACCGGTGTTTTCGGAAGGACAGGTGATTGGGTGGCTGTCCCTGAGGGCCATGTTGGGACGATCCTCTTCCCCACGGGGCCTTGACTCATCCCTCCTCCCCTGACCTGCTGGCCCCCAGGCTCCGCTCAGGTTGCTGGTGCTGCTAATGTAGAGTGTCCTTACCTCTCCTGGCCAGCTGTGTCCCAGAGCTGCAGCGCGTAGCACTTGTTGTCCACCAGCAGGTTTTTGACCCGAAAATCCACTCCTAGGACACACAGAGAGAGGTTAGGCCTACTTTCCGGTTACCTTCAGGACTTCTAGCCAAGGCCGCCTACACATCCTGTCCCCAACCCCGGCCTCAGGGAATGGAAACCTCCGGCTGCTGGGCTTCCCTCCACTCCCCAAATCCCATCCACAGTCAAGGGTCCATGTGTTCCCAGAAGCCTTCCCTGACCACCAGCCCGTGGGCTCCCTGCCCGCTGCACCGGGCCAATGCAGGGAAGCTTGCGTTGTCTTCAGCTCTGTGAACACATCTGTCTTTCCAGCTGCACAGCGATGTTTATTCCTTAGTCCACTCAGGAAAAGGTTTCATTACTTTATTTTTATGATACTCGTTTCATATCCTAATTATGGGTGCATCCTCCCCTTCAACCAGACAGCGGGTAGGCAGGCAGCCGGGAGGTGGATGGAGCGCTGGCTTCAGAGATGACACACTGCGCTGTGTGCTGTCCACCCTCGGCCGCTGTGCCGCTGTGTGACCTCGGCAGGTCGCTTCACCTCTCTGAGCCTCCTTCCTCATCTGCAAGGTGGCAGTTTAAAAAGCCCCACGTTGCAGGGTGATTGGGAAGATTAAATGACTTATGTCCAAAGTTTAGCTCAGTTGCTGGGAGGGAGGACGGGCTTGAGAGGCGGTGATTTTTGGTTATTGTTAATCCTCACCTGAGGATACCTTTCCATGGATTTTTAGATAGAGTAGAAGGGAGGGCAAGGGGCAGGGGGAGGGGGGAGAAAAACATCGATGTGAGAGACACATCAATTGTTTGCCTCCCACACGACCCGGACCGGGGCCAAGGATTGAACCTGCAACCCAGGTACATGCCCTTGACCGGGAATCGAACTCGAGACCCTTCAGTCCTCGGCTGACTCTAGAACCACTGAGCCACACCAACCAGAGTGAGAGGTGGTGATTTTTATTATCCTTATTAATTCTATCTCTCTGAACCTCAACCCCGGGGTCATGGTTCCAGAGCCTTCCTGGAAATACAGAGGTAATCATGAAATCCCACAGAGGTTTGGAATCTTTGGGGTGCATCTTCCTGTTGGCCTCTACTTCCCATGGAAATCAGGTGGGGTGGGGATGATGGAAAGGGCCTCTTTGTCCTCATCCCCACCCCCTTTCCTAAGGGAGCCCTGAGGCTGCAGAGCCCACCACCGGCCCAGGCCAGCTCAGGAAAGGGGTGTCTTCAATCAGCCTTGAGCTGGCAGAGACCCCCACAACACCTGCTGCTGGCCCCTGGGGGTGGCTGGAATCATAGCCCGCCTCCCCCACCCTCATGTTCTGCAGCCAGGGAGGTGGTGGAGAAGTTTGTCTGTAACAGCCACGTCCCTTTACTGCCCTCTTTCCTGAAGGTCTGAGGAAACTCGGGGTCTGCAGGAACCCGACGCCCTGATAAAGTCCAGCCTCAGCGTAAGCTCCCACCGTGTGAACAATGAACAATTATTCTTTGCATTGAATACCTCCCTCATTACTCCTTTTCCACCTCCCTGCCCATCCCCCTCTTCAATCCACCCAACTGTGCTCACACTCTCCCCCCAAAACATGCTACAACATAACACGTAAACCATTAGGAGTATAATGTTTTCTCCTCCCCAAGGGATCGGCTCCTTTTCTTTTCTGGTACGTGCCCCTAGCGGGAACCGAACCCGGGACTCTCTGGTCCACAGGCTGACGCTCCCAACTGCTGAGCCAAACTGGCCAGGGCGGATCGGCTCCTTTTCATGAGCAGCCTCAGGGAGAAAGAAATGCTGAACCCAAAAGGGTAACATTTCCAGTGTGGGGCTGGTGCTTGGAAGTCAGACGGCCCTGGGGATGAACTCTAGGGCCTGGCTAGGGCAAGAAACAGAAGCAGATCTTCAGTCCTCTGTTTCCCTCATCTGAAAAACGGGGATAGATACGGAAAAGCCAGGCAAAAATGCACATTTGATATGACTCAGTTGGCTCTGGCTCTGATCCTCCCCCACAGCCCTATTCTCAAATGCAGGCAGGCTACCGTTCTTTGTTGTTGTTGTTGTTAATCCTCACCCGAGGATATTTTTCCATTAATTTTTAGATAGAGTGGAAGGGAGAGAGGAGGAGAGGGAGAAACATCGATATGAGAGAGACACATCAATTGGTTGCTCCCTCATGTAGAACCTGCAACTGAGATAAGTGCCCTTGACCAAGAATTGAACCTGCGACCCTTTGTCCCGAGGCCGACGCTCTAACCGCTGAGCCAAACTGGCCAGGGCAGGCTACAGTTCTCATCCTCTGAGAGTGGAGGACAGTGACACAGAGTGGGGAAATGTTCATGGCTGCGGAGCCAGAATCATCCCCAGTGACAATGAAGACAGATGGATGGAAGTCACCTGGGGGCAAAAACGGCAGCTGGGACTGAGACAGGTTTGGATCACACACCTGGATCTCAAGTACTCCCAGCTGGCCAGCACTGGATGCCACCTGGCCCTGTGTTTTTCAATAATGCAGTCTGTGTATTTCTTGCTTGAATTTTCTGGAAACATTTTACTACATAATAATAGGGGAGACTCGGTTTTGGGGGGACTCTTGTAAGATGTCTGGTGCATTGTAGGTGGTTAGTAACCAGTAGCTTAGGTGATCAATAACGGTGGCCCCGCAGGCCCTGCAACCCTCCCCCATGTGCCAGGTCTGCTAGGGGCTCCCCATCCCTAAGACACTGCATTTTTAACTAGTGAGGGTTCTTAAGCAGAGAAAAGTTTGAAAACTTGTCCTGGGGCCTCTCTTGCGTGTGGGCTGTGATTTGTCCACAGGTGGGCCCCGGTCCCGGTCAGCGTGCACCCTGACTGACAGGATGTACTTCACCCCATCTTCATCTCTGAGCGGTTTCCTCTTCATTCCCACAAGCTTGCTTTCCGTGTTTCTAAACAACATGCAAGAGGCCACATGTCCCAGTATTTTTAGGGAGAAGAAGCTTTGGCAGGAGCCACTGAATGAGACACTATCAAATACTTTCTTACAATAATAACAATAAAAATAACTAATATTTATTAGCACTGCTACGTGCCAGATAGTACTCTAAGAGCTTCCCGTGTACTATGAGCTAATCCCTACAACCGCCCTGGGAAGTCAGCACTTCCGTTGTCCCCGTTATGCAGAGGGGGATCTGGGGTCTCAGGTAAATAATTTGTCCAAATCCATATGGCTAGTAAGTGGCAGAACAAGATTTGAACTCAGGCATCCAGGTTCCTAATTTACCACACTCTACAAATACATTCCGTGTAAAACATTCCACCTGCCCAAGGCAACTTCCGGCCAGAGCTTGCCTGGCTGGCCTGGGGCTAGTCATGACCACATCCAACCAGTGCCACCCTGCAGGGGCCTGCCTTGGGCCATGTGGGTGGGACTTGCTTGTTTTCACCATCAACCAGCACTTGCACCTAAATTGCAGGGTGCTTTGTTGATGTGGCACAATATAAGCTAATCAGATCAATGCAGAAAAAGCAAATTACCTGTAATTAGAGATGATTAGTAAAATAGTAAGAGGATGCCCATATAAAACACTGTCTAGTGCAGGGCCTCTGGCCAGGACGGAGCCTGCAGCTTCCCCAGGGATGGCTCCCTCCAGGCCTGCTCCAGCCTGTTGGCCATGGCCCTCCCCCATGGCCCTCCCCCAGGGGCCCTCCCCCAGGGCCCTCCCCCAGGGCCCTCCCCCAGGGCCCTCCCCCATGGCCCTTACCCACAGTAGCTGTCAGTCCAGCAGCGAAGGTGTTCTGGTGGAGCAGGTGCAAGAAGGATGTTTTGCCCACGTTCGAGTCTCCCAGGAAGATGATGTGGAAGATGTAATCAGGGTCAGCTAGACACTCGCTGCCCATGGAGTCCTCGGGGGATGGGGTCAGCCCAGTCTCCCTGGAGCCTGCTCTCGAGTCTTCAGGCCTGTTTTCTTCCCTTGGCCCCCCGGATTGTAGGTCTTCGGGCCTGTTTTCTTCCCTTGGCCCCCCAGATCGTAGGTCTTCGGGCCTGTTTTCTTCCCTTGGCGCCCCGGACTGTAGGTCTTCGGGCCTGTTTACTTCCCTTGGCCCCCCAGATCGTAGGTCTTCGGGCCTGTTTTCTTCCCTTGGCGCCCCGGATTGTAGGTCTTCGGGCCCGTTTTCTTCCCTTGGCCCCCCAGATTGTAGGTCTTCGGGCCCGTTTTCTTCCCTTGGCCCCCCAGATTGTAGGTCTTCGGGCCCGTTTTCTTCCCTTGGCCCCCCAGATCGTAGGTCTTCGGACCTCTTTTCTTCCCTTGGCCCCCCGGACTGTAGGTCTTCGGGCCTGTTTTCTTCCCTTGGCCCCCCGGACTGTAGGTCTTCGGGCCTGTTTTCTTCCCTTGGCGCCCTGGATTGTAGGTCTTCGGGCCCGTTTTCTTCCCTTGGCCCCCCTGATTGTAGCGGCCCTTGTCCTCCCTCTGCTTGAGCAGCTGTGGGTGGAGGCCCAGGTTGGGCTTCTAGCACAGCCGTGGTGGGCAGCGTTTCCATGGGCTGCTGGGGCCCTGCTGCACCCCTAGGCTGAGCCCCCCGAGGGGGAGAGCCCCTTGGAGGTGACGGTGTCCCAGGAGCAGGGGCTGCTGCCTCAGCCTCAGCCTGCAGTGTGTCGTGTGGGACAGGAGCAGGCAGGGAACCTGGCTGGGGGAGCTCTGAATGCCCAGCCCTCAGGCCCTGAGCCTCAGCCGGCTGCTCTGAACTGAGGCCTTGCCCTCCTTGGCCCGCCTGCTTGCTCTCCTCAGCCCCGGGCTCCTCCTTCAGACTCTGCTGCGGGAGGGCAGGCAGCCCATCTGGCTGGACCAGGCCATGAGCTCCCCTTAGCCCCCCAGGAAGGCCCTCCTGCTCATCCAGGCCCAGCTTGCCCTGCTCCGATCCCTCTGTGGGAGACTGAGGCACACGCTCCAGACCCAGGGAGGGCTCAGCCAGCCCTGCTCTGAGGACTCCAGCTCCCGGGGACCCCATTCCCAGCTCAGAGTCAGCAGTGTGACGGTCCTGATGGAGGGCCTCTCTCTGCCTGGGTGGCTTGGCTGGGACAGACCCAGTCCAGGAGTCTTTGTCATCTGAGTATGAGGCCTGGAACTGTTTGCTGGGCCCGGCTGGGGCCTGGGAAGGGGGAGAGGTCACCTGGGGAGGGCGTCCATCCTCCGAAGGAAGGAATGCAGCTGCCCCCAGGCTCCCTGACCCCGGAGCTGGGGCCCCAGGCAGACCCCAGAGGAAGGGGGCCTCGGGGCCAGGCCCTGACTCTCCCTTAGCCTGCGCTCTGTGAGGCTGCACAGGCCGCTCTGGACTGAGGTCTTGCACATCTGGGTCCACTCCTGTCCCTTCCTTGGCTCTGGCAGGCACCTCAGGGGGGCTCCTTGGAGCCCCATCTGGATCCGAAGATGGCTGCTGGCCAAACGGCAAAGCATGCAGCTCTGTGATGGAGATCTGCCTGACCACTCGGGGTGTCTGGGGGGCTGAGGGGGACCTTGGGGTCGGGGGTGGGCTCCAGGACAGCTGCAGGGCTCTACTCGGGGTGCTGCTGAAGCTGCTCAGGAGCTGGTCCCAGTCATCGTTGTCCCCAAACAGTCCAGGCAGGGGAGCCTCCTCAGCGGAGACTGCCCGAGGGTCGGGAGCCTTCTCCTCGCCTGCTCTGGGGACACTAGAAAGGGTGTGGGAAGCTCGTCAGGGGAGGGGCAGGTGGATGTCACTCCAGTCCTGCCTACTCCCCACCCTGTCAGCTGCACACCTCACGCCTGGCCCCCCCCCCCCCCAGTCTGTGCTCAGGTTGTCCTCCTCACCGGGCACGCACTCCCCACCCCCCCTCCTGCGATCCTGCTCGTCCTTCAAGACCAGTGCGAAGCCTCGCCTCCTCCAGGAAACCTTCTCTGACCACTTTGGCCCATCCCACTCCTCTGAGCTGTGGCAGATAGAGTACCTGCCTGGGGTCCACCACCGCACGAGACACGCGTGTACGTGTGTGCAAATCCCAGCTGTGTGATCTTGGACACATGACTTTCCCCTCTCTTCCTCAGTTTCCTTGTCTGAGAAATGGGCACACTAATCTCAGCCTGGCAATGCTGTTGTGAGGTTTCGGAGGGCGTGTGTGCTCTGGGCGCTGACCAGAGCCTCAGAGAGCTCAGAGCCCCCTCTCCTCTTCCAGGAAGGCCCTGGTCTCCACCCCCGCCCAGGGTGGCAGCCACTTGCCTCAGTTCCTCTTCCATCTGCCAGGACACGCGGGCTCTGGTGACGTTTATGTGTCCCTTGGTCACCTGCAGCTGCTCCCGTACCTTGTCCAGCCGCCCAGCCAGGTCATGCTGGGCCTCCCGAAGCTGCTGGTTCTCCGAGCTGGCCTCCTGGTGTGTGCTGCTGAGGCGGCGGAGCTGGGCCTCCAGCTGCGGGAGGAGGACGGTGAGGAGAGACGCCCAGCTGCCTCCAGCACAACAAACAGCTTCGCAAGGCCAGAGACTCCAGGTCCCCGAGACCCAGCTTAAATCAGGACTGGAGGGTGACCACTCATTGGCCTAATTGGCTCCATAACCTCCCCTCCAGGAGACACGTGAATTGCTGGGGTAGCGAGGAGACGAGGACTCTGTAAGAAACACAACTGCCCGCACATGAGGGCCCGACACGTGAACGGGGTCACGCCCGCCTCTTGTTCAAAGCTCTGCAATGACTGCTCACCTCTGAGCGCCGTCTGGTCTGCAGGGAGCTCCTGGGCCAACGGCAAGTCACATGACTTGGAGATGGCGAGCTGCTTGTCCACGCGGAGCGAGAGGCTAAGCCCTCCCGGGGCCTCGGGGGCCCTGCACAGACTCCTCACTCCACCCCTGTTACATCTCTGACCTCCTCTCCCACCACTCCTGCCCCCGCCCTCTGTTCCAGCCCACAGGTGTCCTTGCTGTTCCTTGAACATTCACAGCCCATGCCTACCCCAGGGCCTTTATACTCATGCTTCCCTCTACCTAGACTGCTCTTCCCCAGATATCACATGTTCACCCCTCCCCTGCTTCAGGTCCTTACTGGCATGATCTATCAGGACCCTCTATCCCTGGCCCTGCTTTACTTTATTCTCCTTAGCGCGTTCATCTAACACGTTACAGACTGTACTTGCTTATTTCACCATCCATCCTCCTGACTAGACAATAACTCCATGGGCAGGGGCTGGTGTCTGTCATGTTCCTCCAAACCTAGAACTGTGCCTGGTACAAGGTAGATGCTTCCTAACTAGTCGCTGGGTGAAGAAATGAAGGGCCTGGGGCAGGGCTTTGGGTCCACGGGGGACAGGACAAAATGGCCCTGCGTGGAAAGTCCAACCTCCTCCCTCAGCAGAAGGGCCTGCTTCAATTTCCAAGGCGCAGCTGCTTCTGGGCACCTGGGACACCACCCTGTGTCGGGAGGGCGAGACCAGGTGACAGGGACAGCCGAGGCAATGCCAGGGAGGACTCTGGGAACCTACACAGTGCTGAAGGGACGCTGGTCTGGTTACCACACATGGTGATTTTACTGAGGTCAGTGGTTTGGAAGTTGAAGGAGGAGACAATGGGGCAGGGTCTCGGACCATAAGACTCAGCCTCAGTTCCCATGGCAGTGACCATCGGCTAGGGGCCCGGGGTCAGGGCAGCAGACATTCTGACCAGGAGGCCAGGTCAGAGTCGGAGACAGGGACCACCGCGGTGTGTGAGCACAGGCACCATCGGAGGCCCCCAGCGCAGCAGCTCCGATCCGCACGGCATTTCCAAGGCGAGTTCTGAACTCCCCTCTCTGAGGAGGAACCAAGGCTCAGAGCTGAGAGAGCTGCCGATGAAGAGAGCTGGACGCCACCCTACCACCATCTCCCTGCAGGGAGGCCGGGTGCCTGCCCAGCCTTCCCTGCTCCGCAGCACTTCCCCATGTCCCACCTTCTCCGGCGCAACCCCTGGGAGATGCAGTAGACGTGCCTAGTTCCATTTCACAGACGGAGAAACCAAGGCCAAGACAAGAGTTATTTCCCCAGATTTGCATGGCTCTTCATTGACACCGCAGGGATCTGAACCCAGACCTCTGGCTCTTGTCCCAGTGCTCCTGCTGCCCCCCCCCCCCGGCCTCCCTCTGAAAAGGGCCCAAGACACCTCTCTCCCAGGGGGCCACTCTTACAGGGGAGCCCAGCGCCGTGCCTGGGCCTGTGAATCCTCAGAAACTGGGCTCCTGGGTGCCCTGTCACTCACCTCCCTCTGGCCCTCGGTCAGCTGCTGCACCTCCCGCTCCTTGGCTTCCAGGACCTCCTGCATCTGGGAGCTGAGGGCCAGGTCCCGGGAGTCACTCTGGGGAGAGAGAGGTCTCAGACCCTGTGGGCCGGCCCTCCCCACACTTCACCTCCACCCCAGCCTGGGGTGCAGGATCCCAGCCAGAGGGGTCTTCCCTGGCTCGGGCCTGGATCGGGGCAACAAGGAAACTGAGGCCCTGAGAGCAGAAGGACTGGCTCCTAGGGACACAGTGAACCCCGGCAGAGGACGGGGGCTCGCCGTTCTTCACCCCACCACCCCGGTCAGGAGTGTGAGAGGATCCACTCCCAGCAACTTCCTGCCCCCCACACTGGCCAGTCACTGGGCCCGTAGCAGGGCCAGCCGAGGAGCCCAGGACAGGGGGCGCGCTGGGGAGCCCACCTTGGCCTGCAGCCGCCGCCTCTGCTGGCCGATCTGCTGCTCCATCTCCTCGTACAGCTGCTGGACCTCGCGCTGGTGGTCGGAGTCCCGCCTGGAAGGGGTGGGAGGTGGGCCGGGCAGCCCATTGGCACCCGGGGACCCTGCTGCTGGCAGAGGTGGTCTGGACCTGGTTTGCAGTCCATTGTGCTGCTCACCTCACTTGGTCAGGGATAACTGACCCCTCACCCTGGGAACAGTTATCTCAATAACAGCCCCTGACCTGTGTGCCCTTGATGTGGGCCATTCTGATCCCATCACACTGACTCCTATAACCACTGCCAAGATACTGGATCCCCTGGCCCTGTCACATGGTCCCACTGTCACCATGCCCCACCTCCTGCAGGGCGGTGCCCATGCCCACCCCAGGGTCACCACACGCACTGTCGTCTGTGTGAATGGTGCTCCCGGGGTTTGGTGCCACAGTGGCCCTGCTCCAAGACACGCTTGGCATCCCCACTCGCCATGAGGGCCCAGCTCTGTCCTCCCCAAGGCCCCTAGGTCACCCTTCCTCCAGCTCAGCCCCGCCCATTCCAGCTTCCAGGTCCTGCGGACCCAGGCCTCCATTCTCCGGGAGCGGGGATTCAGTTACGGTTCGGCTGACACGTAAAGCGCTCCCACTACCTGGCAGGCACGGAGTGGGCGAGGACTCCTAGCCCCACTCACTTCCTCAGGGTCAGCTCCAGAGCCTCCCTGTCCGCCCGCGCCCCCTGCAGGCGGCTGGTCATCTGGGCCAGGAAGTCCTCCAGGTTGCCCGCCAGCTGGGGCTCCTCCTGCCTCAGCTTCCTCCACAGCTGCCAGATCTCCGCCTGCCTGGGGAGTGGGGGAGCCAGAGATTAGGTGAGGGGACCAGGAAGCAGGGGAGCCCCCAGCCTCCATATGAATGACAACACTCCGAGAGACTTGGGCACCTGGGCCACGAAATTCTGTTGACCCCTGCAGGTGCAATGAAATGCCACCCCCTCCGGGAATCTTTCCCAGATGTGCCCTCTCTCTTACTGAGCCCCCACAACACTTTGTCTTTCTATGGGTTGGTGATTAATTGTGGGGAGGGGGATTGGGGGCCTGACAGCCCGAGGTTTCCATCTGCCTTCTCCCACTCCGCAGCTGTGTGATCTTTGGCAAGTACCATGCCCTCTCTGGGCTTATTTGTAAAATAGGGAGGCTGATACCTGCCCAGCAAGTTCTCCAGAGAATGAGACACACCCGTGAAAGCACCCGCTTGGGGCCTGGCACATGGATGGCACTTGATAAATGCTGCTTTCACACAGATTTAATTAAGTTGTGAAGACAGATGCCAGAGGGCTGAGCCCAGGCCAAGCTGCCAAGTAGGTAAACGGCTCCCCACACACCTGCCCCCAGCGTCGTCTGCGGCTTACCCTGCCTGTCCCAGGACTCTGGCCCCGCCCTCGGCGGGCTTGTTCTCACAGAGCCCTGGGGTGGGCAGCCCCAGTGTGCGGGAGGGGCGTTTTCAGGGAGACCTCCCTTTTCTGAGCACGAGTGAACCCTACGAGCCCAGAGCCTGAGACAGTTTGGAGAAAACACCTTCCTCTCTCCAAACCTACCCAACCCAGGGCACCACAGCACTGACATCACTCAAGAGGGGACCTTCTTTTTGGGTTAAGAAAGGCAACATCAGCCTTGGCTGGTGTGCTCAGTGGTTAGAGCGTCAATTGGCCCATTCACTGAAGGGTTGCAGGTTTGATTCCCAGTCAAGGGCACATACCTGGGTTGCAGGTTTGATCCCCAGCCCTGGTCCAGGGCTTGTGTGGGAGGCAATCAATCAATGTCTTTCTCTCTCTCTCTCTTTCTCTCTCTCTCTCTCCATCTCTCTCTCTCTCTCTTCCTCCCTCGCTTCCACACTCTCTAAAAATCGGTGGAAAAAATAACCTCACTTGAGGATTAACAAAACAAAAAAGAAAGAAAGAAAGAAAGAAAGGCCGCTCAGAATGTGAGTACCCTTGGGAGGCTGACTCCCTGCTCAATAACCCTGAGGAGCGATCGTCGGGCAGGCCAGCCGGCCAGGGGTGTCCTCCTGAGCAGGCATCTCCACGCATGGCTTTCTTTTATCCCACAACCGCTGTTAGGCTCGCTCTGCAGCCAGGGAAACAGAGGTCAGAGGTTAGGCCACTTGCCCCAGGTCACGCAGCTAACAAGTGGCCAAACCAGAATTTGCACCCAGCTCTACCTGGCAGCCTCCCACCTTGACACTGTCCAGGCAAGTCCTCACCTACACTGACTGGCAGCGCCTGTCCTGCCCCGACCCCGCACACACACTGCTGGCCTTACTCAGGAAGTAAGTGGCCAGCCCCCAGCTGCTCCATGAAGGCAAAGAACGCCTCCTTCTCCTCCGCGTCGGCCTCCTCCAGCACAGGGACGCTGGTGGCTGCAGATCGTCGCTTGGAGGACAGTGGCCTCCTTCCACGGAGCCTGCGGGTGCTTGGGCTGGAGCCAAAGATATTCTCTGTGGGACAGAGGAGGGCAGAAAGCAGCAAAGTGGGGTTGAGCTCAGCCCCTGACCTCCCACTTTGCTCTGGTCCAGCCCTTGGAGAAATAATTATATCTGTTTTGGTCACACTTATATTGGGCCATGTTTACACATTCCTCATGCCAACCTTGGGAGTCTCCTGAAGGTAGGCACTGTGCTCGTTTTACAGATGAACATAGGAGGCCCAGAGAGGCCAAAAGACTTGCTGGAAGTCACATAGCAGCTCCATGGTGGCCAACACGTTTTTCATTCACCCAGAATATTTATTGAGCATCTACTATGTGCTGGGGACAAAACTTTGCTGGAACTGACATTGTAGTGAGTGCTGAAAAGGACACATTTTTTAAAGGAGTAAATTTGCTAAGTGAGCTAAAGGAATAAACAGGGCAATTTCCATCAACAGACTGGACAGGGGCTACTTTAGAGCCAGTGGTCAGGAGTGCCCCAAGGAAGTGACAATGGAACTGAGATGAGAATAACAAGAAGGGATAAGCCATGTGGATTCCTAGGGAAGCGTATTCTAGGCTGAGAGAACAGACATGCAAAGGCCCTGTGGTAGAAAACAGATTGGCACACTGGAGGAGGTAAGTGGCACTGAGTGAGCCCAAGAGGTTGGCAGAGTCTGGATGGTGCTGTCCTGTGGGCCCCAGAAAGGGGTTTAGATTGTGTCCCACAGGCATTGGGAAGTCCCTGGTGTGCTGGGCATGACTGGATACAGATGTGGAGATGGCCCTTGGACGTACATGGACAACAATGTTCCCTCTGCTCCCACCCCAATCCCAGGCCCCAATTTTCTCTCCTTACTCCTACCCTCTCAATATCAGAACTGGAGCAACCACCTCCCAGACAGCACCAACTTATACATGCAGAGTCCTGGCCTCCCTTTTGTTGTCTCCAAACTTTTGGAAACTCAGAAGACCTGAGAACTCCAGGCGGCTTTGCATTACTGTAAGGCTGAGCTGTGCCTTGCAGGGCCTCTGCCAGGACACCGCACCTTCCATTCCCTGGGCCAGCAGGTCTTCCCCCATCAGGAAGATCAGTGGGAGTGTTGTTTCCTGCTGGCCTTGGTCTCTCTAAGTCCTTGCGGCCTGTCTTGAGAAGCAGGTGCTGAAATAGCCCTGCTCAGTGAGGACTACGGGCCTGGGATCCCCCACCCACTAAATATCACTCTTTGCTGTTCCCTGGGACCTAGAATTCCCTTAACCAAAGCCAGAATGTGAACTTCCACAGACAGAAACAAGGCCTGTGGTCTCAAGAACAGGGGGTGCTTCATTTCTAGCTCAAGGGAAGCCTTGTTGGGGAGATGACAGGGGAGGCATCAGAAAGCAAGCCTGGTGGCCTCTCTAGAGGAGGGGGATGCTCAGGGGAGCCCCCAGCGAATGAACCGTTCTGGCTGGTGGGAAAGTAAGCGGTCAGATCTCCTGGGCTGGAGCCCTAGGGCTCAAACCAAGTGCCTTCCCACCCAGGCTTAGAGTCCTCATCGCCACAGTTGGCAAGGTGTCATGTTGCCTTTCCTGTCAGCTCACGGCACCTGCATGGGACGCCAGGCTGTGCAACAAGCCCCCAGAGGCCCTCCAGGGACAGACATACTGAGCCCAGAGCTGAATTCTTCGAGGGAGAGGTGTCCCTTCCGCTCCACATCCACCCAGTCAAAGATCATCTCCGGCTCCTCCTCACCGCCCAGGAAGCTGAACTGGGCCACCTGCAAGGAAGGAGTATGTTGGGTGTTGTTCCCACTGGGGAGGCTCTGGGCCACCCTCAAAAAATGGAGGGTGTTTGTCTTCAGCTACCTCCACCTCCCTTCTCCCCACCTTTGGAGTCCCGTGGCCTACCTGAGCCAGAGCCTGCCCTTGAGACTCCCAGGCCCCACCTGGGACGGCCTTCTCAGCAGAGCCTTGAACTTCCTCCACACCTTTTCCTTCCTCCATCCTACACCAACATTTGCCTGTTCTGAGTCTCATCCCTTAAGGACCCTAATAAAGGACAGTAGCGAATCCTCCCCAGACTGTGTTTATCAGTGTCCAAAAATTAATCTGGAACTTGAAAATGAGTCCAAAAGGTGGGCAGCACATCCCTTCAGTATTCTGCAGGGGGCTGAAGCCACCGAGCACCTTCTAGACCATGGGAAGGACCTTCATTCATCTCGGGAGCTGATGAGCGGTCCCAGACTAAATCAAGTCACCGGTTAATTTCAGGGTTTGTCCAGGAGAGATGTAAATAACTTTTGTCTGAGGGAACAGATAACCCTGAAGATTTATGGCCTATTGGACATTCACCAGCTTTTAAAACTCCAACTCAACAATCTGGTTCTAACGTTTCTTTATTAAATTATCTAACTTTTTAAATACTCTTTTAATTATTCATAACATCTCTCATTAATTAATGTGCTAAATAAAATCTTTGATATGAGTTCATTTTATTTTTGCCTAAGGGTTATGAATTTACCTTTTTGGAAATTATATTTGAACAGTTTGGGAGGTTCCGTGGAAGGTCCCAGGGGCTCAGCTGCCGGAGCCACGTGGGCGCACTGCTCCCGGCGCGTGGAGGGGTCCGAAGTGTGACCGTTAGCTCTGCTGACTCTGTTTCTCTAGTTTGTTTTTTTCTTTTTGCTGGATTTATGTTTTTTATTTTGATGGCAGCAATGATAGGGAATTTTATGTTATGGACTGATTATTCTGTGATCTATTTGGCCTACATGATGTTCATTGAAAAGACAACGGAAAATCTGATTTGCTATTTTTTTTTATCCTCACCTGAGGACATTTTTGCATTTATCTTCAGATAGAGCCGGAGGGAGAGAGAGAGAGAAACATCGATGTGAGAGAGACACATCGACTGGTCACCACCCACACGACCCAACCAGGGCCGGGGACAAACTGCAACCCAGGTACATGCCCTTAGCGGGAACCGAACCCGGGACTCTCGGGTCTGCAGGCCGCTGCTCTAACCGCTGAGCCAAATCGGCCAGGGCAGATTTGCTAAGTTTTCGTTGGTGGTGGTAGTGTTTGTTTGTCTACGTGTGACCTCCAGTTAGTTTAGAGTTTTGTGCCCACTGGGAAGGAGAACAGCTCTTTGAGATCTGGAGTGGTGAGTTTTTTTGTTTCTGTGTTGACTTTTGACCTATGGCGCATGAAGCTAACGTTTCCCAAAGCCACAGCAAATAAAGAAACTAGATTTCTAAATGCTTTAGATGTGCTCAACTTTTTTTTAAGCCCCTCATACAAGAAATTGTTAGCTCAGAAAACTTTTAAGGACCCAGGTTCACATAACAAAGGTGAATATTTGGGCAAATTAGATTAGTTTAAGAATTTTGCCCTGGCTGGTTTGGCTTAGCGGTTAGAGTATCAGCCCATGGACCAATGAGTCACGGGTTCAATTCCAGCCAAGAGCACATACCTCGGTTGCAGTTTGTCCCCGGCCCTGGTCGGGTCATGCAGGAGGCAACCAGTCGATGTGGCTCTATCACACTGATGTTTCTCTCTCTCTTTCTCCCTCCTACTCTATCTGATGATAAATAGAAAAGTATCCTCGGGTAAGGAATAAAATTTAAAAAAGAATTTTGGTTTATAAGACAAATAATAGTTATCTGTGTTTTCTCTTCTTTATATTAAATTTAATATTTCATTTTTTATAACATCTAGATATGTTTGTGAAGAAATTAGTTAATCTGAATGTCGTATACTTCTTATTTTGTCTTACTGTTCAAATAAACCAACATTGTCTGTACATAATGTTTATGATTATAAAAATGTTAGACTTGTACATCTGAAACCTATATAGTTTTATTAACTAATGTCACCCCAATAAATTCAATCAAAATAAAAATAAACAAGTACATGGAAAAGAAAATCTGTTAGAGAGAAAAATTAAACCAAGTTATGCACTTCTGAAAAAAAATCAGATTATGAAAATGTAAATTTGTGTTCAACTACATTGATTCATTATTCCAACAAATTTTATACCAAAAGTACTTATATTTTGTAGTGTGTCATTTCAAACACAATTCCCAAGACCTTTTGTAATCTGAAAAACCTGAATAAATATTAAATTAAGAAAAATGTAATACCGAAACTTTAATTGCTAAACATCATTTTAAGTTTATATCTTTTTGCTTTTTACTTTTATGCTGGAGAGCAGCTGTGTTTCAGGGTCACATTAATGCGTGCGCTCATTTTGGGCACTTTGAGTAGTTGTGCAAGGGAAAGCAGGGAGTCGAGTAGACATTTGTACACCCATGTTCACAGCAACAAGATTTACAATAGCTAAAAGATGGAGGCAACTCACATGTCTATCACAGGATGAATGGATAGATGAAATGTGGTGGATACATACAGCAGAATATTATTCGGCTTTAAAAAGGAAGGACATTCTGCAATATGCTTCAACATAAATGAACCTTGAGGACACTATGCCAAGTTAAATAAGCCAATCACAAAAGGACAAATACTACATGATATCACATAGATGAGGGGCCTGCAGTAGTCAAATCGTGGAGCTAGGAAGAAGAATTGGGGAGATAGAAGAATGGGAGTTAGGGTTTAATAGGACCAGAGCTCAGCTGGGGGAGACGAAGAGGTGCTGGAGACCGATGGTGCTGATGGTTGCAGAACAGTGTGAATTATTAGTTAATATCACTGAAATGGTAAGGTCTGTTTGATTAGAATTTTTTTTAGAAGTTGTTCCGGGGACAGGTGTGACTGTAGAAAGTCATGTTAGGTGTATTGTGATCTCTGCTAGTCCACTGAAATGCTTGTATGAGAGACAGATCTCAGGTATTTACCCCCAGTTCAGTCTGTGAAATAGAGGCTAATTACTTTGGTTAAGAGTTGTAATTACTATGGGTATTTGAGACTATAGTAGGAACAACAGTAACAGAGAAATCCACTGTGTCTACAAAGAGAACGGGGTGTGTTTCTGTCTTGGAGGGATAATGGAAGTGGTTTTGTCTCAAGTGCCTGCTTGTTCCAGAACATGAAAAACTGTAAAAGGCAAAACCTGAAGGGCTACAGAGAGTTGGAGAGGGTTTGCTGAAAGGGAACCTCATTTGCCTTGACTTATAATGCTTGAGTCTGAAAATAAGCTACAAAATATGTTAACGTTTTGCCAAATTTGCCTCTATTTTGATGGATTTAAAAATAAAAACAAAACTTGAGAAACTTTTACTGCCATGTGTTATATCAAAGCAAAACTGGAAGTGGGCTCCATCTCTATTAAAACGGTAAACTGGGCCCGGCCGGTGTGGCTCAGCAGACTGAGCGTCGTCTCCTGGACTGAGAGGTCCCGGTTCGATCCCCAGTCAGGGCACATGCCCGGGTTTCAGGCTCGATCCCCAATAGGGGGCGTGCAGGAGGCAGACGATCGATGTTTCTCACATCGATGTTTCTATCTCTCCCTCCCTTCTATTCTCTCTAAAAAGTCAATTAAAAAATATTTTTTAAAAAAGAAAAAACAGTAAACTGGTTTTAGAGCTCTGAGCAAGGGTTAGAAAGAGGTTACTATTTATTTTCTGTGTGATTGCCAAGATGTCTGATTCCACTCCTCAGCCGAAACTCCCTCTGCTATGTTCGGCTTTATCATATGCTAATTTTTTAAAAACACACTTCTAAGGTGCTTCTCTTCTGAAAGAGCTAAACAGCCTTGCCATTGTGTTAACTTCTCCTATGTATATTTCAAAATATTGTATTTCACTCACTTTGTTTAAACAGGTAACCAAGTACTACTTCTCAGGTTCCCATGAGCCTCTTAATCCAGTGGCCACATTTCCCTGGTAGCCACTTCTCAATCTCAGATCCTAAATGAATTTTAAAAAGTCAGGATATCTTTCTCTGTATTTCTCTATATTTATTAAATACGTCACCACTATTATAAGAGTAAAATGGGCAAGAACTAACAAGTATTGGCAAGAGAAAAGGGAACCCTTTTGCACTGTTGGTGGGAATATAAATTGTTGCAGCCATCATGGAAAACAGTATAGAGGTTCCTCAAAAAATTAAAAATAGAACTCCCATATGATTCATTAATTCCACTTCTGGGTATTTATCTGAAGAAAATGAAAACACTAATTCAAAAAGAGGTCTGTACTCCCATGTTCATTGCAGCATTATTCACAGAAGCAACCTAAATGTCCATCGATGGATGAATGGATAAAGATGTAGTGTATATTTTTTAAAGTTCATTAAGATTAATTAATACAGTTGTGTTTAACACCTGTTTGTAAAAAACAATAAGCTGATCATTACCCATAAAGAAAAACACTGTAATATTTGTTGCATTTAGAAGAAAATAAAAACCGAGGCTTTAACCTATAACAAAATGTGATGTCAAACATGGCTTCGGTGCAAGAAAGAACAGTCTCGGAGGAAGAATTGCCAACTCAGAAGAAATGTTTAGCCTTTCCTAAGCTAAGTTTACGCAGATAAAAACTATTAATACAACTGTTTCAGAAATTGCATGCTTTATGGGAAGGCCATGGAGATTTCTCAATGCCATTGCTATCAATACTACGCCCTTATCCTCAGGGGAAACACTGGTCAAACCCTTATGAAATAGTTATGTACTGCACCCAGTAGAGAACTTGACTCTCTTCTACTCTGCTATTGTTAGTTACTGTAACAAACAACCACAGCTGTTCAGTCCCATTACTAAGTACGTCTCTGCTTTGCCTGAAGGCTCAGTTAAAAGCTGCAGGCCACTGTTTGTGTCTTCCACAGAGGACAGACTCGAAGCCTGAGGGGAAGGACTGCACCAGGTCCTCCAATTGCTGATGCTCCACTTGGGGACAGGACGTCGAGCTGCCATTGGCCACCCTTCAGATTAAGCTAGTGGGCTGACAATGTCTAGGATTCTTTTGAGTCCAGAAGCAGCCAGCTCACCCAAGGTCCAGCAGAACAAGAATGAACGCCAGCCCTGGCTGGTTTGGCTCAGCGGTTAGAGCGTCAGTCCTCGGACCAATGAGTCATGGGTTCAATTCTGGTCAAGGGCACGTACCTCGGTTGCGGTTCATCCTCAGCCCTGGTCGGAGTTGTGTGGGAGGCAACCAGTCAATGTGTCCCTTTAAGGTCGATGGTTCTCTTTCTCTCTTTCTCTCTCTCTCTCTCTCTATCTCTCTCTCTCCCTCCCTCTCTCTCTCTCTCCCTCTCTCTCCCTTTCTCTTACTCTCCTCCCTTCCACTCTATCTGAAGATAAATAGAAAAAAAAAAGAATGGACTCCATGGAACTGAATGAAGGGCTTGAGGAAATCTAGTTGTACTTAGTAGTTGGGATCATAGTTGGTATTATTTTTATGGCTCTAAGAGAAAGTTCTCTGTCTTCTTGATCTGTCTCTAACCTTTAGTTTAATAGATGGCTTTCGCAAACTGAAATTAAACACGCTAAATGGCATCTGAATCTCACCGACCCCATCCTGATTCAGAAACCAACACTTTTACCGAACCTCCTTGCTTTCCATGGCAACGTAGTCATTTACACAGGTCCAATAAGACTCTGCCCTCCTGCTTGCAGAGATATAGGCAGGTCAGTGTGTAACTGTAGTGTCCTATCAAAGAATGATTCTCTTCCAATCAGCTGTGACAAGTCCATTGGCAGAAACATGGAGCCAGCACCTGCAAAGCCCTCCTAGGCACCAGGTGACAAGGAAGGCCTCTTCTGGGCAGGAGAGGGACCTTAGAAAAATTAGGACCCTCAGGAAGAGAGTCCCTTATATTTATAGGGGCTGCAGGTAAAAGCTCTGCAAAGAGTCTTGGGTGGGATTCCCGGCCTTAGAATAGACGCAGGATGGGCATCTTGGGCACGGAGAGGGCTGCCTCCTGGGTGCCCCTCCAGCCCCAGGCAAGCTGAGACAGGTGGTCGTTCTAGACAGCAGAACCAAGAACAGAGATTTTAAAAGTCCGAAACTTGGAAGTAAGGTAGACAGCACATCTCTTCAAGCACTGTGTAGACTAAAGGAATGCACTTAGTTCGTCTCATTGTTTACCTTTAATTCAAAGTCCCAGACTTACTGAGGTTACTTGTTAACTTGCAGATCTTTGTCCAGGAGAGATGAAAATAATTTTGCCTAGCAGAACAAATAACCCTGAAGATTTATGGCGTGTTGGACATGAGTCATTGTAAAAATTGAACTCAGCACCCGGCTGGTGTGGCTCATTGGTTGACTATTGACCCATGCACCAAGAGGTCGCCAGTTCGATTCCTGGTCAGGGCACATGCCCAGATTGTGGGCCAGATCCCCAGTGGCAGATATGTCAGTTGTGTATCTTTATATAGTGGAATAAAAAGTAAAGGAACCCAGCCAGTGTGGCTCACTGGTTGAGCATCGACCCATGCACCAAGAAGTCACTAGTTCGATTCCTGGTCAGGGCACATGCACAGGTTGTAGGACAAATTCCCAGTTGGGGGCATGCAGGAGGTGGTCAATGTATTTCTCTCTCATCGATGTTTCTATCTCTCTCTCCCTCCCTCTCCCTCCCTCTTCCTCCCTCTAAAATCAATAAAGAAAAAAATTTTTTAAATAAATAAAATTGAATGCAGCGATCTTATCATAACACTCTTCTGTCAAATTGCCTATAAATATCCCAGCTTCTCAACCGTCCTTTGAACCCATCATAACATCTTACTGGTTCCCTCATTAATTAACAATAATACTTAATTAGGTAAAACCTTTGACAAGTGCTGATTTCTATTTCTCTCTCTTTCTCTTGAAAGTCTTTTTTTTTCACCCTGGCCGGTTTGGCTCAGCGGTTAGAGCGTCCACCTGCGGTCCAGAGAGACCCGGGTTCGGTTCCCGCTAAGGGCACGTACCTCGGTTGCAGTTTGTCCCCGGCCCTGGTTGGTCGTGCGGGTGGCAGCCACTCGATGTGTCCCTTTCACATCGATGTTTCTCTCTCTCTCTCTCTTCCTCTCTCTCCCTCCCACTCTATCTGTACAAAAAAAAAAAAAAATGGAAAAATGTCCTCGGGTGAGGATAAAAAAAAAAAAAAGAAAGTCTTTTTTTTTCCCTTTAGAAAATTATATTTTAACATCATCCACTCCTGCCTTGTGGCCCTGAGGCTGGAGCCCAGGAAAGGCCAGTTTTGCTGGGGGAAGGAACGTGGAGAGTATCCGGAGGAGACTGCAGGCCCGCGAGACTCGAGCAACCCGCATAGGCCCCTTTGCAAGGAATGAGGGAAAGCTAAAGAAAAATTCGTCAACCTGCTCTAGACCACAGCTTAGGACTCCTTATCGGGACACACAACCATGACTGATCTTACATTTCATTCAAGTTTAGTCATCGACATGGTTTGATTTCCAGACCTCTGACTGCTCCCCAAGATAAACTTCCCTGCCCAGTAGGCCTAAAATGCTATCATTGGCAAGTTACTTCTTTGGCTTAAAGTCCTTTCCTTTGTTAAAATGTAAATGTTTCTAAAGGAGTGTAATACAAAAAGCCTTATCAGTCGTTTACACATTAGTATAAACAAATTCCTAGCCTGTTCTGAGATCAAAGTTTAGACGAGAGGAAAAAGAAAGGGCAGGGAGCCCTTCGTTCCTGAGACAGCAGGTCTTGAAAAGGGATTCCGGGGACAGGACAGGGTCTTCGACTCACCGCCAGGTCCTCGCGGGTGACAAAGCCCCTCTCCTTGGCACCACACTGCTGGAAGAAGCCCTGTAGCTCTGCAGCTGCCTGGGAGGACCAGGACTCTGGCTCCGGAGCCACAGTGGCATCCTGGCCATCAGCGGGCTCCCGTGTCTGCCGCCGGCGGCTGGAGCCCAGTTTCCGGCCTTTTCGGGTCACTTTCTGTCCAGTCTCCATGCTGCTTTGGCCTGGGGACAGAGTGAAGAGGGGGCACTGGGCTGCTGCACACGGTCACATTTTGCTTCAGTCCCTCCCACGGCCCCCATTAGCCTGGAGAAAATCCTCCGTGGGCGATGCAACCCGGCCCGATTGGACCCACTGGCCTCTCTGACCTCATGGCCCCCAGCACATCTTGCTCACAGCTTTTGCCCTTTCTGTTCCCTCCGCCTGGAATGCTCTTCCCGAGCTATCCATGTGCCCTCGCCTCCTTCAGCTCTCTGCTCAACTGTCCTAGACCTTCCCTGGCTGTTCTCTGAAAGAGCCCCAGCGCAGGATGGGTTCCGTTGTAGGACTCAGGGCTGTTACACAGGGTGGCCCAGGGGCTCACTGTCTGAAGGGCCAGAGCACCTCGCGAGCCGTCTCCTGCTGCTCCTGCAGCTCACTTCCTCCTCTCATCTCAGGGAGGGGACCTCCAGGTTGCCTCCTCCCTCTCGCAGTTCCACCCGCCTCCGCCTCTATCCCCTCAAAACCATTTCTCTACCCTCTCACACCCCCACATGTGGCCCTGTGGGATGTGCCCTCCCTCACTCCCCCACCCCCACCCCTGGAAGTCCACCGCACCCCTTTGGAACCACCCCCATGCCCAGGACGCCAGCCTCCCTCCCACCCTTGCTCCCAGCCTCCTGGACTCTATCCCCTCACCTAGCTGATATCTCTTCCCACCTCAGCTTAGAGTTCGCCTCCTCCAAGAAGCCTTCCCTGCAGCCACTCCCAACTTCAAGTAGGTTTTAGTACTCCTGTCTGGGGCCCCAAGATGCCTTGGGCTCCCCCTATGGTTGTCACTGTGTACCTCGGTCCACATTGTTCCCAGCTCCTTAGCACATAGTAGGTGCTCAAGTAAAGGTTGTCCAATTAATTCGGGTCCTTTCTTCTGTCATTGAATTGCTTAACTTAGTCAATTATAAGGATTTTGATGAATAAGGCTTTGTCCAGGTGGGGCTCCAGGGCAGGAGAAAGGGAGGCTGGAGTATGGAAGGGGTGGTTGGGGACCGGTCCCGGAGGGAATAAGTCCAGGGTACACAACACTGTATGGGGTGAGAGGGGCTGGATGTGCACATGGTCAGGCAGCTTCCTGTGGGTGTGGGGCGTGGGACGTGGCCAAGCTCTAAAGGAGGCGGGCAGGACTTAGAAGCTGTGAACAGCGTGCAGGGGAACTGAGGGACAGAAACCACGCCCTGGGCTTTCTCTGCTGGGGCCAAAGGTCACAGACAGGCTGAGGAGCCAGGTCAGGAAGCTGTGCCTCCGGGATGACGTTGATTCCAGGGATGGGAGCCCCTGGGCGAGCCTCCGCTGGGCTAATCCCCTCACGCAGATGCACAGGACTTGCGTGAAGCAACTCCTTCCTGTGGGAGGCCCCAAACCTTACAGTGAGGCAGTGGCTTCCTGTCTGTCTCTCCATCTGTCGCTTTGCCTGTCGCTCTTGGTACAGCTGCATGATCACACGCATCCAGCTGCGGCGGTACGTGTGCCGGCTCGGGGCTCGGCCCATTAGAGTCATTGTGTGCCCCCTTCCTGGCCGCTGGCTTGGAATTGGCCACGGTGGGATTATCTACCCCATGCCAACTGGCAAACGCGATAGATCAGGGCCTTTGTCCTCCCACAGGGCAGTTACCAACACACCTCTTCTGAGAAGACTTCCCTCTGCCCGACCCCTTCCCAAGACCTAGCGAGACTTAAGCAACAAGCATTTGCTCAGCACAGCTGAGGCGGCAGGGTGGTGAGCAGATGTGGGGGTCCCTCCGGGGAACGTGGAAAGGTGCCCCCCCATCCTGGCAGTTCACCCCCCCTGCTGACCCACAGCTGTGGAGAAGGAGGCCCAAGAGAGGAGGTGACTGCCAGTCACCGTGCTCTGGAGTCTCACAGACTCTGCCTGTCCCAGGCCCGCGCTCGCCTGCTGTGACCTTGGCCACTGAACGCCCTGTCCCTCAGTTTCCTCGCTGGAACTGAAAGTGGCATTTCTACCACCGGGTGCTGTGAGGGTTCCAAGAGATGGTTGGAGTTGAATCGCCACCCCATTCTGGCTTTACATTCTCAGCAGTTGTCACCGCCCCAGAATTGTCTTTTATTCGGTTATTTTGTAAAATGTCCATCTCCTCTCACTGAACTCTAAGCTTCGTGGGAGTCCGGAGTTTACACTTTTCACTGCTCCATCCCAAACGCCCGGACAGCGTGGCTCGCGAGCACTGTCGCACCTGTGACCCCTGCAAAGCACTCACAGCAGCGACAATGGTGGTGATGACGTGGGTGAGGGTGACACTCTGTCAGAGCCGCACAAAAGCCGGGGCTGCACAGATAGGACTGCACCCCACAGGTGAGGAAGCTAAGGGAGGGAGGCTCCGGGCTCAGAGACAAGCCAGGGCGCCAGCCGCAGAACCACACCCGGGTGGCCTCCCCAAGGCCACCTGCTGGAGAGACGCCTCCTTGGTGGGAAGGCCCGTCTGTGGCTCACGCGCGATGGGGCCGCGTGGGAGGCGCGGGCGCCACGGAGCAGGGCAGCGGGCAGGCTGCGCTCGGGGTTGTGCGGCTTCGAAACGCAGGTTGCACATCACTTCCGTTGGTGGAGATACACAGGAGGCGGCAAGATAAGATTCCCGTTGCGGAAGCTTCCAGAACCAGAGTGCTGGGGTGCGAGTCTACGCGCTGTGGGTGCCGCGGGGCTGAGTCTGTCGGGCCCCACAGTCGGGGACTCGGAGTCCTGACGCGGATCCCCTGCGGCCACTTGCAGGACAGAGGACGCCCTCCGTGCCCTGCGCGGGCCCTCGCGGGCTGCACCCCCACAGCCCACTCCCAGCAGGCACTTCAGACGAAGGAGCCCCAGCCCCTCTCTGCCGGGGCCTCGCAGCGGGCAGCTCTGAGCCCGCCGCCCGTCGTCCCTGGAGGCCACTTGGCGGCGCCCCCTTGCTGTCGGGAGGCCCGGGGCAGACAGGCGGCAGGTGCCGGGAGCAGCGCCCGCGGAGCGCCCGGCAGGCAGAGCCAGTGCCCCCGGCAGCCCTGCAGCACGCCCGCCCGAGGAGCAGTCTGGGCCCCTCGTGGCCAGGCCCCGCCATCAGAGACGGGGCACGCGCTTCAGTCACTCACATGGTGGACGCGCGTGGGCACACGCACGCTCACAACTCCCTCCTCAACTCCCCCACGGTCACCAAGGCCCCTGCCCAGCCAGTGGCTCAGAACAGTACGCCTTCCAGTGGGCAGCAGGGACACCCTCCGCCAGCGACCCCCTCCTGGGTCACCACTACCTCAGCCCTTACCAGCCAGAAGCCCTAGCGACCAGGAACACACACGCACACCCCACAGCAGACTCCTGCTCCCCGCAGTCCTCACCCAAGAAACCATACAAAGTTTGAGGCCAGCGACAGAGTCACAATAGAGCACCTGCAGGTCCCCAGGGGGCTCTCTCACCAAAGGGGCAAGGCCTGGGTCTGCTCTCACCCCACTTACTTCAGCGACTGCAGGTAACAGCCACATGCACAGAACCCACACTGTCCCTCCCGGTGGATGGGCCTGGGAGCCCACCTCTGCCTTGCTCTGACCTACTCACTTCTCTTCCCCTCACTAACTTGATGGAGAAGCGAAGGCTCTGAGAAGCCAGGTGACTTGCCCAAGGTCACATGGCCATGTAAGGGCAGGTAATGTATCCCAGTCGCCTGCCCAGGTGCCCTCCATTAGACCATGCAGAGAGCCCCAAATTCACACAATAAAATAACTTAGCCCTTTGCACCCTTGTCATAGGAGCTGGAGAGGACCCTGCTGCCTCCACCATACTCATCCCTCCAAAGAAAAGAAGATTGCAGTAGGAGGCTCCCACCTCTCAAAGACTCCTGGTCGTGCCTGCAGCTGTGCCTTCTGGACCTGCCCGAGGAGCTCACTCGCTCTGGAAGTGTTAACAGCCGTCTCTTGCTCAATCATTCTTCCGTTCCTCAGCAAGCCAATCTCCTGTGTTCATCTCTGAGGCTTCCTGTAGAAATGGCCACTGTTATCCTTTCACAATTTTCTCTGGTTCTCCCGAGGCCCCTTTGCCCTAGAATCCTGGAACTGGAGAACCCTGCAGCTGGGGGGGAGTCCTAAGCAGAGGCTCTGAAGGGTGAGGTGGCCTCCCCGAGGTTACCCAGCCCTCAGTGGCAAAGCCAGAAATTGCATCACACACTCTGGTTGCCATGGTGATGCCATGTCTTATCGCATGTGTTGGTGGGCACAGTTATGGCTAATGCTGTCTGTGAAACTTCGCGCCATGCCTCAGGCCCTCGCTCTCAGGCAGTGTCTTGGAATATCAGGGGAGGCTGGCATCTAAATCATCCTTTAGAGAATAGCCTAATCTAATACCAAAATATATTGTAGAGCCACAACTATCAGAATAGTGCGGTACTGGAGCATGAATATAAATGGATGAATCAAGGGCACAGCATAAATAATAGGATAAATTCAAATATATACATGGGAATTTTGTGTATAATAAAGGTAGTGTTTCAAATCAGTGAGAAAGATGGTTTATTCAATAAACCATTGGGAGAATAGTTTAAGTATTTGCAAAACACAAAGTTGGAGCTCTAACTCTAAAATAATTTCTTTCATATGGGTTGAAAATGTATGCATTAAAAATCATTCAATTATTTTTGGGGGGATTTATTTCAAAATGACCAAGGGATGGGGGGATGGGTGAGGGATGGATGACCTAAGCTGGCCCTGGCCTGTTCTGGTTACTGTGGACGTTGGTGAGGAGCCACTGGCTCAGTCTATTCTCTCTGCTCTTGTGTATGTTTGGACAAATGTCATAGGAGTCATGGGGCAATTTTTAAATAATCTTGAAACAGGCAAAGCCTTTATGGGCCTGTCACAAAGCATTAGAAGCCATAAAGGGACATTCGACTATTTAGAAATTTTAAAGTAAAAAAATAAAACAACTAAGACTATACTTTCAGGGATCATTTAGAGAGTTCATCACTAGAGAAGTTTCTCTAAACGTGTAGAGCACCCAAAACCATGAGGAGGAGGTACAGCGTTCTCCTAAAAAAATAAAAAGTTTAAAAAATAAAATAAAGTGACTAAATAGCAAAAAAAAAAAAAAAAAGTCACCATGGACAAATCAAAAAGCAAATACACTAAAAAATTCATGTCATAAAAAATAAACTAAATTAACTCCTTATATCGTGAGTTCCTACAGATCAGTGGAAAACCAGTAATGCATTAGGGAAATTGGCATTAGAGAAGAGACATTTCATGAGGGGAAAATATCAATTTGCTTTTAAACACCTGAAAAAATGTTTATTTTGACTCAATGGATTGAGAATTCGTCCCATGGACTGAGAGGCCTGGGTTTGAACCCAGGTTGCAGGTTTGATCCTTTGTCAGAGTGTGGATGGGAGGCAACCAATCAGTGTTTCTCTCTTACACTGATGTTTCTCTCTCTCTCTCTTTCCTCCCTTCCTTTTTCTCTAAAATCAATAAAGATATTTTAAATGTTTAAGAAAATAAAATAGAACTACAATGAGATATTTTAAGTTATCCAGTTGGTAAAACTGGAATAGCATGCTTCACAAAGGGTGCAGAGAAGCAGGCCACATGAGTTGGTAAGAATATAGGCCCTGGCGGGGTGGCTCAGTTGGCTGGAGCAGCTTCCTAGGCACCAAAATTCAAAAGTTCTACTCCCTGCCCTGGCCAGTTTGGCTCAGCGGTTAGAGCGTTGGCCTGCGGTCCGGAGAGACCCGGGTTCGGTTCCCGCTAAGGGCACGTACTTCGGTTGCAGTTTGTCCCCGGCCTTGGTCGTGCGGGTGGCAACCACTCGATGTGTCCCTTCACATCGATGTTTCTCTCTCTCTCTCTCCCTCCCCCTCTATCTGTACAAAAAATGGAAAAATGTCCTCGGGTGAGGATTAAAAAAATAAAAATAAAAAAAATAAAAAAAAAGTTCTACTCCCAGTCAGGCGCTTGCCCAGGCTGTGGGTTCAGTCCCTGGATGGGGTGTGTGTGGGAGGCAACGGATTGGTGTTTCTATCTTCCTCTCTCTAAAAAAAAAAATCAATAAAAAATTTTTTTTAAAAAAGAACACAAACTGGTATGTCTTTTATGAAAAGAAATGTAATGGAATGTGCCAATATTTAACATGTAAAAAGCTTTTTACTCAGCAATTTCACTTCTAGTCACTCGTCCTACAGGTGAAGCACCCAGTGACGGCCCGAAAGGATGTTCACCACAGCAGAGTCTGGGTTAGCAAAGGATTGGAAAGAACTTAAACTTTCTTTTTAATCCTCACCCGAGGACACTTTCCCATTTTTTGTTCAGATAGAGTGGGAGGGAGAGAGAGGAAGAGAGAGAGAGAGAGAGAGAGAAACATCGACGTGAAAGGGACACATCGAGTGGCTGCCTCCTGCACGGCCAACCAGGCCCGGGGACAAACTGCAACTGAGGTACGTGCCTTCAGCGGGAACCGAACCCGGGTCTCTCTGGACCACAGGCCGACGCTCTAACCGCTGAGCCAAACCGACCAGGGCAAGAACTTAAATTTTCAACAGAAAACTGGTTAAAGAAGCTCTGATGCGTCCAGACAGGGGTCTACAGTGCAGCTGTGAAGAAAATGAGAAAGATCCAGGTGGACCCATATGGAGTGACCTTCAAAATATATTGTTGAATGAAAATAGTAAAATGGGAAACAGTGAATATAGTATGCTTTGCAGAAAAAAAGTGCATGAGTGTGGATGAAACTTATGGTATGTAAGTGCACATGAATTCACATATATTTGTAAATGCATCGAATATTTCTGTCAGACTCATAGACAGACAACAGCATGGTGATTACAGGGGGCCAATGGGGTGGGGGGAGGTAAGAGAGGGCAAAAGGGGGATAAATGATGACGGGAGGAGACTTGACTTGGGGTAGTGGACACATAATACAATATATAGATGATGTATTATAGAACTGTACACCAGAAACCCATAAAATTTTATTAACCAATGTCACCCTAATAAATTCAATTTCTAAAAAAGAATATTTCAGCCTTGGCCAGTTTGGTTCAGCGGTTAGAGCGTCGGCCTGCGGTCCTGAGAGACCCGGGTTCGGTTCCCGCTAAGGGCACATACCTCGGTTGCAGTTTGTCCCCGGCCCTGGTCGGTTGTGCGGGTGGCAGCCACTCGATGTGTTCCTTTCACATTGATGTTTCTCTCTCTCTCCCTCCCACTCTACCTGAACAAAAAATGGAAAAATGTCCTCAGGTGAGGATAAAAAAAAAAAAGAAAAAGAATATTTCAGACAGAATAGTCAAGAATATACTGGTAGCCCAGCCGTGTGGCTCAGTGGTTGGGCATCGACCCACATGCACCAAGAGGTGGCCAGTTTGATTCCCGGTCAGGGCACATGCCCAGGTTGTGGGCCTGATTCCCAGTGGGGGGCATGCAGGAGGTGGCCAGACGATGTTCTCGCTCATCGATGTTTCTCTCTCTCTCCCTCTCCCTCTTTCTCTGCTACTGGTAGCAGCTGGGCTGAAGAGAAGTGTTGGGAGGAAAGAGGGAGATTTATGTTTCACTGTTTATTCTGAACCATCTTTATATATCACACATTCAAAAATATATTTGAGAATAATTTATAGATATTCAGAGAGAGAATGATGAAGGAAACATGGTGAAATGTTAATATTTAAGATCTGTTGATGAAGAGTATATGGGGATTGTTTTACTATTTTTGAAGCTTTTCTGTATGCCTGAAATGATTTCAAAACAAAAAGTTTTCATAATTAATAAATTTCTAAATATATAGTCTTACAACCAACCATTCTTTTACCCACCCCCACTGTTTTTTTTTTTTTTTTTTTTTTGGTACGTGCCCCTAGCGGGAACCAAACCCAGGACTCTCTGGTCCACATGCCGACACTCCAACCGCTGAGCCAAACCGGCCAGCACCCCCCCCCCCTTTTTAACACTGAGGAAAGAATACTCAGAGTTTCTGTGGCTTTATTGAAGTAAATAAGGCATTTTTTTATTCAACAAATATTGTTGAGTACCTAATATGTGCCAGACCCCATGCTAGGCACTGAGGATACAAGAGTGAAAAGAAAAAAGAAAAAAAAAACCCCTATGTAATATAATGTCTAGTAGCCAAAAGTGTTATGAACAAAAGTAAAGGAGTCCAGCCAGTGTGGCTCAGTGGTTGAGCGTCGACCCATGCACCAAGAAGTCATCAGTTCGATTCCTGGTCAGGGCACATGCCCAGGTTGTGGGCCAAATTCCCAGTTGGGGGCATGCAGGAGGTGGTCAATCGATGTTCTCTCTCATCGATGTTTCTCTCTCTCTCTCTCCCTCTCCCTTCCTGTCTCTCTAAAATCAATAAAGAAAAAAATTGTTTTAAAGGAGAGGAATAGAATGGTGCAAGGTGTACTTTAGAAAGGGGGTGGCCAGAAGAGGCCTGTCTGAGGAGGTGATGCTGGAATAGAGTATGTGAGGAAGAATATCGGAAGAGGAAACAGTGAGTGCAAAGGGCCTGAGGCAGGAGCATGCTTTGTGAACATGAGGAACAGTGAGGAAACCAGTGTGGCTGGAGCAGGTAACAGAGGGAAGTGGAGATGAGGTCGGGGGTAGCATACTGTATGACCTATAGGTAGGTCATGTGAATTTATGTTTAGTGAGATGGAAGCCATTGGAGGGTGACACAGTCCAACATAGGGTTTCCAGGAATCCTGCTGCTGCTTTCACCGGGGGAACAGACTGTGCCAGGCAAAGACGAAAGCAGGGAGGCCAGTGAGGAGGCTGTTAAAGTGATCCAGACAGGAAGTGATGGCTGGGACTAGGAGGGCAGAGGTGGAGGTGATAAGGAGAGGTGACTGAACTCTGGGCGTGTTCTGAAAGTAGGGCCAACAGTGTTTGCTGCTGGATCTGGACAAATGCAATGGAATTCAGGAACTTTTCTCTCCACTGAGGGACTCTCTCCACTTCTCTCTGAACGAAGA